TTAGATTGACCCTCAACTGCACCCTTCAACAAGCAAATAACAGCTAACTGCCTATACACCTTCAAAAACTGAAGTGGACATTCGATTCTACGTAGATTGTTTCCCGGATCTGCTGCCTTCTGATTAATGTTAATTTCGCATGAAATCAAAATTCACCTGAAAGACTGTCTTCAATCCTTTTACATAACACAGAAGTTACAACAACAATTTAGTCCCAAAAGAATACCTCCAGTAGATAGGATTATGTGGTAGATAAATATTACTTGCTTGCTTGATACGTGAACGGCCCGTCATCATTGGTTGTGCGGGCCCCAGCATAAACACCATTTTTCGGAGACTTGCTCGCTAAGCCATTGTGGTTCCCTGGAATCGCGAGGTCAGCCTTGTCCAGGTCCAAGTCTGCTCCAGGTCTTCACCACCACTTCCCTTGTGGATCAGAGTAGATTTGCCACGACTTTGATACCAAAACGGTGGGGGATACTGGTATTCGTTTACTTTTAGCTAGGCTTCCTGATGGAAACGCCGGACTCCTTCTCAGCTTGGGAGACCTTGTCGGGGGGACGAATTCCCTCGCTGTACATCGCAGTCCAACACCGGCACCCAGGAACAGCTCGCAGCCACGATGAGGCGGTAAACCGTTTAGAGGAGATAAATATTAATGGTCACTAAATTACAAACTATACTATATCTCAATAAAGTTGTAAAACTTTTCAAGATTTGCGGTCTTGTAAAAATCCTCCAACATAGTACACACACATATATCGAGGTAAGGTGGAACGTCGAAAGGAAAATTATGAAGTCAAAGAAATTTGTTCGGTTAAATAATTTTTCACACTCTGTTCAATGTTAGTAAAGCAAAGATCCAATCACAGTCGCAATTCAGATCATTACCGAATGCGAGGCAGAGCACTGTATACTCGGATACGGCCACTCTTCACTGCTAGTGTGGACCCCAGCTCGATTTCTATTCGTTTTATCCCTCGCAATAGTCGTCAGTGATGGGAGCTGGCTGGTGACTCCACGAAGCCCATAGTTTTGCACTCGTTTCCATCAACGAGGACGCGTGTTGCACAGTGGTCGGAGGTACCCTGCAATATACATGGGACCGATCCCCGTGCACAAAGCTCGTCAAACGTTTCATCCTTCCGGGGTCGGTAAATTGGTACCAGGCTCGTCTGGGAAGAAAGCAGCACTGGCTCGATGCACCAGTAGGCCATCAGTAGGCCGCCGATAGTCATTGTGAACAATAAATACGCAATGTTTAACGTTTTGTTTTCTGCCTTCTATAATTTTCATGGCAGGTTACTAAGCGAAATACAACCACAACGTTGCTGAGATATTTGCAAAACTCTGGACCTCAGGTGTCTATGGTGGGGAACGAACGCGCTATTATCCTTTCCGGGGAGTAACGCGTTCACCACCACACCATGCGGGTCCTTCGTTTCGCCTGTCTCTCATCTATTTCTATCGATCTTTTTGCCACAGCAATCACCCGTCAGCGGGGTTGATCTGGGGAGCGCAAATCGGCACATTCAGCCACCTTCATCGGTGCTTAATGAAGTCGCATGCATGGCCCACTTCTATTGCGCATAATAGAGCGCTGCGGGAACAGTTGAATCGAAAAGGTGAGACGGAGTTTGGATCCACCATATCAGTGGTTTCTATGAGAGGCCCGAATGGTACTCATGCTCCTCTTTTTCTGCCTAATTACTCTTCCATGGTGTTCCCCATGTTAACCACGTATGAGGCAGCCTCTTTAATTAATGAATCATTCAATAGGATTTATTCACCTTCGAACAATAGATAATTTATTGCAAAATAAAAGATACGAGATCCTTATTGAAATAATTCGACATCAAGGAAATTCGTAAAAAGATCAATGTGTTTACCCACTATAAAGACTAAGGGATGTTGTTACGTTTGGTAGGTCTGTTCTACATAGTTAGCATTAATAAACAGCGAAACGTTCACATCCGACCAACGCATTTAGGAAAACGCATGAATAATTTAGGACCAATATGATGTCTCCAACAGTGAAAAACAGTTGGCAATGAAAAAACAACATTTTTACAGAGTAGCAACACCGTTCAATAATAGAAGCAATTGAAACTACAAAGGATCTTAACAGCACACACAACTTAAAAAGATGGGAAATAGCTTTTACTGCAGTTACGGCCGCTCGCTCAAAACCGAGATTTCATCTAACCCAACAGAATGGGTCGAGCACCCAATGGAAATATTTCACGATCAAAAACAAATTCATATGGGTGCGCACCGTCTGGACCAATTTACTTCAATAATTCCAATAATTAAGCTAGGTATATCACCTTATTCGACGGTGAGATAAGCCGAGCCAGGTCTCAACTACTGAGATGATATTTTCTCAGGAGCGGTCAGAGTACAACTAAGTCATTCGGCTTCCATGCCCCTACAAATTTTGCTGGAATGGTGATGGACAATGTTGAACGCGTCGATAAACTGCTGTGAGGACTGTTGCAAGACGTTCTCACTCAAAAACCTGAAAAACAGATCTGAATGAACATAGCCAGGATAAATTTTCTACAAACTGTATAATAACGATGTCCCCATAGCGTAGTGGTTAGCAGCGCCAAGTAATGCACATTTGGTCACTTCAGTCTTGCGCCCAGTGCCAAATGAACCCACCAGTGTTCAGGGATCGGAAAGCTGCTACCTGAACGGGGCAAAGGCATTAAGATGATATATCGGTAGTCCCCGATAGTCATCGTATAAGCCAGATATGCATTCACAGACCTTCACGATGGTTCGTGATGGCGGAGGCATACCGTATCTCTGCGATAGATCAACGCTGAACGCTTCAACCTCCCCATCTCTTTATATAGAAAGATAAAAAATAGCTATACAATTTCAATGCTACAACTTTCTTCTAGTGTTTGTGACCAAAAGTTGCAACTGTTATCAAAATTTAGAGCTTCCCGGAAATCAATTCTGATTTGTTATTTCATTTTTTCGTGTATATATTTTTGCAACAAAGTTCTAAACTTCCTCATTGGAAGTCACGAAAAAGCGGCTCTGAAGAAGGCGATACTGCCGAAATGTCAGCCAGCGTTGTATTGTATTGTTTTTTATGGAAGTAAATGTATGCTGTTTAAAAACCTCGCGGTTGCTGAACAAGAAAACGGCACATTCATATTCCAATGCCGAGGTTAAGAGAAAGTCGATCCTGGGAACCATTTTTGCAAGTTTTTTTTCTGAATGTTGTACTATTACATATCACTGAAAAGCCCACTTTATACAAAATCGCCCTTTGTAATTAAATTATAATCTAAATTGTGTTCTTTGCAAACTGTAAAGATCAGAATTACAGATGTGAAAGAAGCAATTTCGAGAAGTCCAGTTTCATGGATTCAAATTGAGGAACATGCAGCGCAAATGGCTCATAATATTAACCAGACTCAAAGAAGTATTAATGGAAGCACAGCGCAGCGTTGGTCTGGAAAACATCGCCGTGCAGAATTCGACTTTCAAGATGAGGGAGGTCGCCGACGTCCTCCTGCTAAAGCGTTAGGAATGGATGCCATATGAACTGAACGACAATCAAAGAAATCGCCACTTTCAGGCAACGTCGGTGCTTCTACATACCCAGAACGATCACTTTCTCGTTCATATTATAAGGTACGACGAAAAATAGATCTTCTTAGCGGACGAACGGCTCACTGGTTGGACCGCGATGAAACTCGTTCGCATTTCTCAAAGCCGAAATTCCACCGAAAGAAGTCATGCCCACTGTGGTGGTGGTTAGCTCCGCTTTTAATCCATAATTGCTTCCTGAATCCGGGTGAAACATTGACAACGGAGAACTACGTCTAGACGAAATACACTAGAAACTAGACGCAAGCCAGACTGACCAAAACCTAGATCAGACTAGATCTTGTATTTGTCAAAAGGAAGACAGCAATCCTTCTCCACGACAATGCGGATACACGTCATACTACCAACACTGTAATAGCTTAACAGAACGGGCTACAAAATTCTGCCTCATCCACCAAACTCGCCAAACCTCTTCCCTAACTACTACCATTTCTTTAAGTATCGTGACAACGTCATGTACGAGAAATGCTTCAAGTCGACGGCATGACCTGCTCCTCGACCGACCTCGTTGTCTCTAGAAGCACAGAAATTTAAGCAACTGGTATCCAAGCACGCCGATATCGAGACCTAGCATAGGTCACCAGCTCTATCGCTAATGATGATTTAGCAGCTTATTATCGTTGAGAAGAGCTATAGTATATTTAAAGACGCAAACGAAACCATTTAAAGGCGATGAGCGAAAGTTACACTCGAAAAACTATTCAAAGAGTTGCAGCATAACTCGACGTTCAACATTCAACAATTGCTGGTGATCTGGAAGACATCGGAATGAGTGAAAACTCGATAAATGGAAAACATACAAAGTGAATTCTGTGAAAGACGTCGTTGTGAAGACTCCTCTGCTCTACTTTGCACAACAAAAAGACATATTTTTCTATTGAAGCGTGATATTCAATGAAAAAAAGCCTTGACGACAATCAACAATGGACGGCATCGTCGAGAAGCCGTCAGAAACTTACCAACTCCCAATTTGCAGTACAAGAATTATATGATAATCTACAACCAAACAAGGCCCCAAAACTTTTTAAATTTTAGTGCAACCATTAGAAAAGTACCTCCACGAAAACGACGAGCTATGTCAAGAATTTCAATGCATATACTGAGAAGTCGTCAATAGTAAATGAACTACACAATTCTACTGCATGACAACAGTCGAAATCATTCCACATCCTGCGTTGCAGAAGTTGAGCAAATTCAGCTATAAAGTTTCTCTCATTCACCGTGCTCACAGCAGCTAACACTTTCTCGAGTACGTTACCAACTATTCCACGAAAGCATCTTTAACAATCATGTCGCTGTTAAAGATGTTAAAGAATTCATCGGCTTAACAACTTCAAAGCTCTCGCTGTACACATAGGTGGACCTGCACTTTATTTGTAAAATTGTGCAGATTTTTGCTGTTTCATTCTCGATTGATAAAATACCGTCTGAATTGAGTCATTCGACATCAAATTTCTGATTTCACTAGATGAACAATTTCGACTCTATCGTTTTTATGGTATTCTTTTAATCTCATCACAAGCGAATGCCAGTTGAATCATGACACATTGTTTCCCTGTTCTGAGCTCCCTGTCAAAAGTACCTTAAGAGATTCAAAGCATGTAAGTATAAATTCCCATCAGGCAGTGATATCATTTGTTCAAATTAATTTTCCTTTTCGATAATCAAGTAAAAAATACCCAAACTACCCCCGTAATACATCACTTAACCCTCTGAAAAACCTCAAAAATCGCATCTTTAGTCAAAATAACAAAGATTTCGCAATCAAAAACTACAATGAGAAGAAAATGTCGAATGTTTTATCTCACTTTTCGGGAACCGTCACATTCAATATTTCTGGCAGCATCCACGGCTTCAACCATCCAACCAGAGGACTCTGACCAGCTTCGTAGACAACACCAGTGTGATAATATAACAAACCGTCTAGTTCAAAACTAAAAATACCCATAATCTTTCACTAGTAACAGTGGCCTGTTCAGTACCTTTTCAAGTTCAGCAAATAGGCTTACATCACGTCATCTAATTTTCTATTTAAAAAAATCGAAATTTGGTAGTGAAACCTCAAAAGTAAAACAATTGGATAGAGCAGGATGTTTAAAGCTCACTCGAATCCATTTCCCATCATTTCTTCCATTAGTTTGGGCTCGCACTTGCAACAAGGCAATGATAGGAAACGGTAACTAAAAGGATCCCGAATTAATTCGAAACTAACTAAAACTAGTAAATATATAGTGATGTTTATCACACTTTTATAATGGAATACGTCCAACCCACGTAGCACTACTCTTAATCTAATTATTCAGATATGTTTTAGGTGAAATTATCTTTGACTTGTGTCATTGATAAAGAGAGACAAAGTGAATATGACCAACAGAATGCCAATGAAAATAATGAACGCATCGTAAAATTAATTAAAACGATTGACGGCTAAAGATTCCGATAACCTTAGTCATGGACTTAAACGTACCATCGAATCAAGAAGAATATACGACCACTGAAATAAAAAATGAAGTGTAAAAATACGTGTAGTCAAAGTGATTTACCTGGGGATCCCAGGAACCAGTAATTTTTTTCAGGAATTATGATAACGTAGAAAGAATAGCCGATTTTGCCGCTACGAAATTTACAACTAGATTTTGCAACAATAACAGGTCACCAATGAGAATGCCTTCAAGGAATTCATGGCTCCCATAATTTCAGACTTTTACACCATCAGAAGAATTTAGCTTGGATTTTGCTAGCAAAACGTGCATATTCCAAGCGCTCTAATTTAGAGTCTCGATGAAAAAGCTGAGAAAGACTGATTTCACGAGTTTCATAAAACCGGGAGTTTATCGATGTTGAACATGAGACCTAGTGTGTTGTTGGTAAAAATCTGCAAATTGTAGTCGTTTTCATTTCAACTAATAATATTCGTTGTAAACCGAAATGAATACAAAAATCATGCCACTTCTACAGTGATGACGGCTTCTATTTCGATAAACAACCACGACCTGACTACTGTTGATTTTCACATAGAGAAAAGAGTGTAGCCTTGTATGAGTGGCAAATTTCCAGCGTATTTCTACTCATATTATTCCCAGTTATTCTTTTATGCATAACGACAGCTGTCCCATAACAGATGTTGCATCAAGCATTCGCATGAAAATCTAGTGAAATGTATTTCCTAAATCCCACACTTTGCAATAAAGAGCCTTTTGGACGAATTCGATGATTCCGATGAGTTCTGTGTTGAAGTTGCTACTATTGGTGATGGTGTCGATGTGCTTCCACAGAGTATACTTTTGAGAACACTACAAGTTTTAAAGTGCATTGTTGTCAAACAAACAGTTGCTATAAAAAATAGTTGGAAATGTAGAATAAATTTTGATGGCGCTTTGGTTGAATGGTAGAGCCCTTTGTCATCATAAAAGGGTTGAAAATATTCAATAAATAAGAACAAATATGACGGGTTTTTATGATACGTCTAATCTAAGAACGCAAAGGTCATACAAATAATCTTTTGGTCGTGGAAAGGACAATAATTGCAACCCCATATTTTTGTTTCATTACAACTATTCATATGATAACACAATCCAAACAGTTATTAAGGAAGTCAATCATCCGAAAAAGAATTCCATCGTCGATTCGAGATGCTACCAACGCTATGTTTAATCCATTTAATCAGAAAGTGAGCTGAGTCGAAATCCGTAGTCTCAATTCGCCTCTACTACACTGCCGATCTCCCAAATGTGGTTTGCTCTCTTGAAAAACACGGAAATCACCAGTTTTCGCGCGACGCGTTTTAAATCAATACACTATGGATATCAACCGCTAGGGATGATTGGCTTAGAGGTAGAGACGCAGATGCAATAAATTAAAAAATAACACTTACTTTGACGTCGCCTAACATACAAACATATACATATATATTTTTATATACATATGCCTTTAGCAATAAAAGAAATTATTTCTATAAATGTTGAACAAAAATAACCAACGGGAATTTCTTTGTAGCTACAGATACTTCGGAGAGCTCTTGCAATTTAGAGCTGAGCATGAATTGTCGGAAATCGAATGGATTCGCACTCATATCCATTCCGTTCCATGCCAACACATCCAAGCAATAGAACGTCTTCTTTGAATCCAATATGCAATCCAAAATCGTGTACACCTCTACGTGAAAATTAATCTTAAACTCGAAAAAATCAATGACTACAATGTCCAAATAAAAAAAAGGAGAAAATGAAAGTACCAAATTATGTAGAGAGAATTGTAGAGAGAATCTTGTAGAGAATTATACTTGAAAGATGATAAGCGAAAAAAAAGAAAGAAAGAGAAAACGACAAACTGGTAGAGCTTGGAGTTACATTCTTCATAGAGTTTCAGAAATGTATTCAACCAAGTGCGAATAAAGGTCTACCTGAGAAAGAGAGCAAGAGAATTCCAGTGAAGAGTGCTTTGAGAATAAAAGAAATCCCTCTTTGTTGAAAATATATGATAGCTAGTTCAACACATAATGAGGGTGATACCCTTATAGAAATGTCTTAAATTGTGTTGTTACATACAAAATTTAGAAAACAAAGCAGTAAAATCATATTAACCCCATACCACTATTTCCCTATATAAATAACATTGAGTCTAAAAGAATAAGTCTTATATGACATACGACAGACCCCTAACACGTTTCTATCATGATAAATGATCAAACAGTGGAACAGTCAACCAGAAAAAATCTCGTACTTGTTGACTTCACTGATCCGCCTGGCAGACGTGACCGAAACTGCGTGACGGCTTTGCCACCTTTATTATACGCCGTTGTTGTACCCTAGCAGACAGTGGTTGAGAGAGTGCGTTTCACCACAATAAAGAACTACGTCAACTAGGACATAACTCTGCCAATTAAGAAAAAAAGTGATTACCTTTGCTGCTACCACAAGTACTCGCTTTCCCACTGGCGAAGGCACCATTATCCATTCTGATGAAAGTTGCTCTGGTATATCCACTAACCACTCACTCAGCATCAATACATCTGCATATCTAAAACACAGCGAGTAGTCTCCATAATAACACACTAAACCGTCCGGTTTAGCAGTCAAATATTGAACTTCTTAACTTCATATTTGCTTGGAATCCTGAGCAGTTACTTATGTTTATTTAACTACTTGGTAATGGTGCTTTAATATACAGCTCTAAAGAATAATAACCTAAAAGTACTAATACAGAAGTAGCGTAGCAAAATGCAGCTCTGATGAAAAGCAACCTAAGAGAAATTTCGGCATAAATTACAACTGGGCGTTAGAAGTTCGTAGATGAACAACAGCCTAAATTATCTAATTCAAGTTTAAACTTACCTAGACCTACGTTTTTCTCTTTCGAGTTGAAGTCTAGCAACATCGTGCTCTCCATTTTGTTCCGCGCTAATAATCACCGTTTGCTCATCCTCTTCGTCATACGTTTCATTCTCGGCCAACATTCTCGTATGGTTGAAATGATCAAAGCGGCTATTTCGCTGACGTTCCATCGCCTGAAACGTGTACATCTTCACATTTTATAAAAATGACCACATTGAAAGAGAAATAGGGCGCATTTATTAATTCCCTATCAACTAATCAACTATAACTATCCTAAGATATGAGCGAAAATCGAAGCCTCAGATGGGTTTTGAACCAGCAATTACCCTTTCCGAAGATTCATGTGTTATCCACCAAACCAACCGAGGTCCTTGTTTTTCCATTCTCTCACCCATTACCCAAGCAGTCACAAATGGTAATGACCTAAGGAACACAAATCGGCATTGAATCCAGTTAAGCTGAAGGTGCAGTCGAAATTGCAATGTTTAACCTTTTATTTCAAAAGCGAATTTCCTTTAACCACGGTATGAGCAATCAATATGCGTTCTTTCATTAATAAGCTTACACGAGGTTGATAAATAAATTTATTCGGCTAACGTTTTTACGCCTTCATCTTCATGAGACCGACGACCCGAATCAATGGTCCAACAGTTGTTCGTTTTCTCAATGTGGCTGGCGTCTTCGTTTTCGCATCGAATCAGATCTTCTTCAATAGAGCATCACTTAAATGAGGCAATCTCGCCCGACCGTGGTCTTTTATACAAGGGTTGGTTAGTGATAATAGTGATGCTCTTTGTAGCTTAATACGATACCGAGGGTGGATAGTCAAGAAAAACAAGTCGTTATTACTGGACAGTCACTATTATCAACAACCGATGTCCCGTATAAACACTATCGCCGGATGAGATTGCCTCATTCGAGAGATGGTCCAATAAAGAAGATCCGACTCGATACGAAGAAGACGTCACTATGGTATTAACCACGCGTAAATTTACCAATGAAATAATACATGCTGGTTAACTTTTACTTACCTATATCCTATATTTGAGTATCATTGTGGTTTATTTAAAAGGTTTGTATTTAACACCGTACTCTACCATGGCAGAAAGAAAAGGTAGTAAATAAAAAATTTAACATCGCAATTCCCACTGCAGCGCTAAACTGGGTTCCATGCTGATTCGTGCTTTCAAGATCATTTCCGCTGATAGGTTGTTACCGATAGGAGCGTTAGTGTAAAAAAAAAAACTAGCTGAAAGAGCTGGAAATCAAGAGCCTGACTTGGTGCAGTGGATAACACATGAACCCTCAGAAAGAGCGGTTGTAGGTTCGAAACCCACCTGAGGTTCCGAGTTTTCCTCATATATCAGCATTCTGGTGGTTGTAGTTCACAACTTACCCTGAAATGAAAAAAAAAGCAGTAACTAAAGGTTCGAACTAACTAGTCAGTGAAGGTCAAAACAGAGGTGTAACAAGCAATCCTATCATGTGAGGCAGAATACTAGACAAAAAGAAACAAACAATCATAAAGACCTGAATTTTCGTAATATACTGAACGACTGGATGACTTAGACATACTGCTCTTTATTCGCAATGGTACAATAATTCACCTCGCCATAAAATAATAATGCAAACAGTGGAAGGACGTTGCATATCTTGCTACGATACCTTACTAAAAAAAAAGCAGGACTTTAAAGGCATGTTACTGACTCTGCACTCAAAACACTTTTCTGGCGACAAAGAGATTTAAAAAGAAGCAGGAAAAAATGCAGCTTACTAACAATACAATACAACACTCACATCTCGTCTACGTTGAGCTTGTTGCTCAGCCGCTTTTCCGGCGTTTTTATATCGACTGAATCGTGGATGCTCTCCTAGAAATCCGAAAGTAGAACATATCAGTAAATCTACAGCTTGTGACAAATAGAACCATGAGCAAAAGGACACACAGTGTCAGTACCCTACTAATGTAATGTAATCACAATTAGAAATTTTTAACCACTTAGAAATCAACTTAGACCACTTAGCGGATGAAGGATAAAGCTCTCGGCGTTCATCTTTTTCTGAGGAATGTCTCATGCATTCGAATTGATTAAGCATTATTGGAGGTGATTGAATACATATCTGGCCTTTACGATGACTCGTGGCGGCCTACCAATGTATCGAGCTAATGCTGCTATCCTCCCAGACAAGTCTGGTACCTGGTACCGACTTGTCAACCCTGACGGATGGAAGGCTTGGTGAGCTTGAGCGCGGGGATCCATCCCATGTGTAATGCAGGGCGTCTCCGACCACTGCGCTACACGCTCTTTTAGAGCGCATGGAAATTTAAAACTGAAACTGCAACCACTTAAAATTTTTTAGAAAACTCGAACATTGAAAACTAATCAAAATGGGTGACAAGCGAACCAACCGATGGATTTTCTACATTTCAAAGCAATTTGTGTAAGCATTCGTAGTACGATTTCAAAATCATCTACAGATAGGTCCGTTATTCTAAACGGTTTATGTGAAAATAAGCATTTTATTCCGAAGATTCTATTCATCCTTTCAACGACCAAGCCTAAGACACGAAACAAATTCTCAACGAATACAATCTCTCGTGTTACGATTCAGTTCAGAAGCAAGTTAAACAAGATCTTCACAGAAACCACATCGTACCTAATGTTGCCGAATCCACATGTGTTCCGCTCAGCTCGCCGACCAATGAGTCTATGTCTTCCATGCCAGTAGACTTAATAACAACTGCAACAAATCTAACCAAATCGGAGGCAACAAAAACTACGCAGAAGTACGACATGAATGCTAGTATCACTCCTACGACACTTACAACGCTTAGAATTACGAACTGATTTCGACACAAACATAAAATAAGCATTAAAACACGAAGTCATTGATGTGAACCTCTACACAAAGAATTTTTCTTTGGCCACGCCCCTTTGTGTAATGTACGGATTCAATCAACTCGATGTAGGAACAATGATAATGTATCAGTGGAGAAGACCGCACCAAACATCAAGTGGCCAATCTTTATAAGCCAATTATTTTTAGAACAGACAAAAAAACTCAGCCAACAATGAAATAGAAACAATCAATAAATCGATTAATGACGTTATAACGACAACAATCAGTGGAATAAACAACGTGCAAAAAGCTGAATTACAAGAAAATTATAGCAACATTTCAGACGACCAAACAACAAACTATTTAGGAGCGAAATGAAAAAAAAATGATCCAAGGGAAGTAAAAGAGGCTGTGATGAAATGTATGACAATGTGGGCTCAGTACACCACATCGCACAATGTACTACTTCGAAACATTATAGTACAACATTTCAGCAGAACAAAACTTACCATATCAGTTGAGAGGACGAAAAGATGACCGAAAAGAGAAGCATACATGCTTATGCTATGCATTACAATAAACTTTTTTAACAATTCCTCTACCCAGTATTCGTATTCCTTCCAATATTTCCTCTTTATTTAAAGCAAGGCGTGCTCCGCCCGTACTTGCGATGTGCACAGAACATCGAGAAATCTGAAAAGAAGGAAATCATGTTGATTCAAAAAATAGAGTATGAGGGTGGATACGAAAACTTTTATGGGGATAAGTCACCGCATTTGCATGATCTGAACACCTTTTGAGCAGCAGATATAAACTATTGCAATCGAGCACCGCGCGGGAACCAACTGCACAAATCATAGTCGACCTGCGTATGTGTGAAAAGAACCTCAGCACTAGTAACGGTTGTGACGATATCTCGATGAATTACAGTGCATTCTGTCTGTCGTAAAAAAATTGTTGAAGAAGTGAAGAAACGCGCTTCATGTGTCTTCAAACTATACACGACAGAAAAGAGAAAAAATCTTTTTCGACCTAACACATAGAGCCAAAAGTGAAGGACAAAAAACCATACAGATCTTCAAACGTATGAAGAACAAAGCATAAAGCGCTCAGAGTTCGTCAATCCCTGACGGAAGTGCCAAATCTTCGACTTTGTCAAGCAACGGTGACTGAATCAATGTCTGGCTAAAACAGTGGCTTTCGGTGGCCTACTGATGTATCAATTCGGTGCGGTTATCGTCCTAGGCTAGTCTGATTCCATCATTCTCCCGATTAGAGAACTCCGGACCGCAGGTGTCTCCATTGGGGATCGAACACGTTAATACCCTTTCTGGGGACTAACGCATTCACCACCACACTATGCGTGTCCTTCGTTTCGCCTTTCTCTCAACTAGTTTCCTATCTAACAGTGACATCAGTAACCACTCGTCAAGTGGATTGATCTGGGGAGCACAAAATTGTAACAAGCAGTTAAAAAGTTAACAAAGAGAACATTTCTCGTCCTCCATGTATTTTTGAAAATGTTTCTCAAATGGTTATCCTCAAACGAGGATAAGAGCCATAAGGTTTTTAAAATTTTAAAGTTGCCTCGAATTTCTGCAGGTAAGGTGAAAGGATTCAGGTCAGCATGTTGACGAAGACATGTCATAAGTTCTTTTCATATATTCAGATTAGGCGATGCTTCCATTATTGTAAAATTCTTCATCAGTGAAATAGTATCCGGTCATCGAAAGGTATAACCATTAAGACGACATGTACACCATCCTAGGAGTACAACTCGTCAATGAATCACTTTTTCACCATAGTTCAACACATTACGTCCGGTATGGTTATATAGTTTCTGTAGGCACCTGGCTCAGAATATAATGTAGACACTACGGTGTCCATTTCAGTGTGTTTCAGAACATTTTCCACTCACCATGTATATTCATTCATTAACTAATGCAAAGCAGATCAAAATAGGAATGGTCGGATCGGACTAGAAAAGCTACTCTGTACACTTAATGATTTACAAAGAATTTTATTTCGAAAAAGCTCATCAACTGCCAATTTGACTGATAACTAACTTACAATCCTAACTTTTTAATCGCCGCCCACTATAATTTTTCACCACAGGATATGATGCGAAACACAACCACAACGATGCTGAGATATTTGCAAAACTCCGGACCACAGGTGTCTGCGGTGGGTAACGAACGCAGTATTACCCTTTCCGGAGGCTAACGCATCAATGCCGCTTTGGGATCCCCAGATCAATGTCGTTGACGGGTGATTGCTGATGGCACTGATCGATAGAACTAGCTGAGAGACAGACGGAACGAATGACATGCATGGTGTGGTGGTGAACGCATTAGCCCCCGCAATTGGTAATAGCGCGTTCGTTCCTCACCGCAGACAACTGCTGTCCGCAGTTTTGCAAATATCACAGCATTACTGTAGTTCCATAAGCATTCACACCCATTCCCTTCTAAAAATCTGTCATGTTCACTACCCAATATGCCTTGTAGTTATCGAAGAATTCAATACCTTTTTTGATTAATAAGCTAACACAAATTTAATTTTGAGAAGAAGATTTATTCGGGTAACATTTCGATATCTTTGCTTTCCTTAGAGCTAAATCGATTCGAATATGGCTCGCAGGTGGTTGTCAGTCTTGCAAAGTGGTTGTTCGTTGTCGCATCGAGTCGAATCCAGTGAAGCGGAGCAATGCTCGAATGAAGAAACCTCACTAAGCGGATCACAGGACGGATGTTGACCTAATGCCATCGTCCAATACGAACTGCTTTTTCGCCTCAATTCATGCTGCAGCACTGTTTCACTTCAATGGATTGGACCCAATGCGACAACGAATACCCATATCGCAAGGTCGACCATATGTGGACTATCCATTCGGATCAGTCCGGCTCTGAAGAAGACGAAAACATCGAAACAACCGAATAAATCTTTTTTTTAACATCCTCGTGTTAGTTTAATAATCGAAGGTACTGGTTATTTTTTCCGAGATTCAATGAAAGTCAATTCTAAGATTTGAAAAATTATTCTATATTGTCGAAAAACTAGAAAGTCCGCACCCGACGAAAAATTGTTCGCATTCCATAGAGCCAGCGGCACGTGCTACATGGGTTAATACGCAAGACCTTGGTTTTGGATGCTTGATAGTAGCAATTTTCGCTTCATAATTATAAACGGTGAAGTTTCAATGAAAAATGTCAAACGTCGTATTAAAACACCTTCTAAACAGATGGGTTGACGTATCAATTGCTTTAAAAAATCAGCTTTACACAGAAATATCCGACCAAAGAAATGCAGGTTTTTCTTATTCGAATCAAAGTTGAGTGATGCAGTACGTACATTCGGCACATACAGAAGGTTATTTGGAAAGACATCGGATGGAGAATTGCTGCAATTGAACTAAGATTCTTCTCCGGAACGGAAGACACAAGGAGTTTGTGCACTACTTCCACTCGCGATCAGAGCAAGTACTGACACTTCTTTCATTGGATTCATTTCCTTGAACAGTGATTAATGAGTCTCAACTGACATTCCGCGTGAATTACCCCTCTGCTTAAGGATTTCGGTCTTCTTCATGAATTTCGCCGAACTATGGTCGAGAATGTCCCTGGAACCTTGGGATAGTGATGCTAGGGCGTCATCAGCTTTTCATTACTACCCTTCACCAACCTTTGTGAATTAGAGTGAGCTCCTTAGACAAATGTGGTAGCCATTACATATATATGCAAATATAGATAAATAAGTATATATATGTAATCTAGACATCAGGGTCCTTATATTATCTTACCTTTGCCGGTACATCTATTTCATGTGGTTTCCATTTAATTCCAATACGGTCACCACCATACTTGTTCCAGAAAAATAAGGCAACATGTTGAAAGTGTGCATTAAGAGCGCAAACGAAATCATCGACAGGATCGAAATTCAGCACAGGCAACGCCTGAAATGATAAGATATCAATAGAAAGAGACGAAGTTTCAATGATCCAAAGAAGCGAATAGATTTAAAACACAATTTAACCCACAATCTTTTAACTTTTTATTCCCTACCTATTCTTTTCTTGTAGCAATACATCACCTGCCGTCACGTCAAAAGTACAGTGACTCTAGCGGACACCAAAAATTTTCCATTTCTCTTCGTCGCGCGGAAGAGCAGTCCAGTGGATTGTGCTCAATCTTGGGACTCGTCGAACATCACATCAATTCTTCCACAGGCTTTATCAAAGTCGTCAAGCACTCGTTCCGCACGACTAATAGTTGGTGTTACAACAATGATGTTTTCAGCAAAATGAAGATGAAGTAATTACCGATCATCGATTTTCACTTCCATTTTGTACCATTCCAATGTTCGCATGATGTTGTGTAGGTTGGTAGCAAACAATTTTGGTGAGATGGTATGTCCTTCCCGACTCATTTTTTACATTGATGTTAATATAGTTACAGAACGGTGACATTTTGGTTCTCAAATTTTTATATAGAACACGAAGAATCTACATATACTTGTTAGAGACGCATTGGTTGTTCAGAGCTTCCATGACTACTTCTATCTCTACTGAGTCAAAACCTTCCCTCAAATTTAATGAAGAGCAACAAAGTGGTCTGTTGCACTTCAGGACACTTCAGTGAGCCTTGTTATCGAGTGGATGTGGTTCGCAGTGTTCTGCCAGTCGTGCTTGGGATGATTCGATATAGGCGACAATCAGCAGGAAGATTGGAGGATAGTTCCCGAAAACATACAGGTCGCACTTTTTGAACAATAACACGGCCTCAGTAGTCTTTAATTGAGTAGGAACCTTCTGTTCTCACAGACAACGTGTGAATGGCCAAAGCACCGTGTTGAAGAGGAGCGGCGAGAGGTCCTTCAGTTGTTCAGGCATTGTTTAACAGGATGAGGATATGACCATGGTAGAGTACTATGTGAAATACAACCATAAGAATATTGAGAGATGTGTAAAACTCAAAACCTCAAGTGCTTCGAACCTGTTACTCCCCTTAGAGAGGACCCAAGTGCTATTCACTGCACCAACTGAGTGAAGTTCTTGTTTTGACTTTTTAGTCGAGTTTTGATTCCGAGCTTTGCTCATATCTCTACCCTACGGTAGTATTTCACATACTACCTTACTATAAAAAAGAATAGGCAGAAAATAAGAAAATTAAAACATTGTGCTATCGATTGCAGCTTCGGCATAATTTGGTTCAATGCCGAATTGTGCTCCCCAGATCATTCCTGTTGACGGGTGATTACTCACAGCACCGTGCTAAAAACTGGTTGGAAGAAAGGTAAAGCAAGCGCCTTGGTTTGTGTGGTGGATATCATGTAAGCTCAGGTAAATATAATCGCTGGTTCAAAGCCCAACTGAGGTTCCGAGTTTTGCTCACATATCAGATCCTTACAAGTGAACTCGTTGTCTAGCAATGGAATACCTATGGTGATAAGTTTAAAAAATGAACAACCGGAAGTATAGTGGTAAGAAAAACTATGCTGGACCTTAGGCATCTACTACAATTCTATCCATCTCTGGAATGTACTCGCTACCATTCTTCCAATATAATACGCACATGGGACACAATAAACTATACATAAAACGAGTTAGGAGGAATCATAACATAGCAATTGATATCGAAAAGCAGAAGAAAACCCACGTCAACATTCCTTGGTATCTTAACTGCATCACTTACACCACGTCGCACCACGACCTTTGGATAGACCTCGATTACTGCATCGTAGATAGAGACATCAGCGTTTGAAAAAGCGAACTGAAATACAAAACTCAATAATCGTTAACCATTAGTGATAATGGATAAAGGAATATGTTATATATAGTGACATTGAATCAGGTCAAATAATGTTCAGATTTGCCTTAACGTCGATAAAATTCGTGTCCTCACAGTTCCAATCCAGCAATTTCACCATTGATTCCGAAAGCCCTACGATACGTTTCAGTAAAAGCGGAGTCGGCCCGTCACGAGTCCATCTATACCAACGAACCGTTATGACAAAGAGCATATTACGCAAAATATAGTATTGAAAATATGGGACATCCACCAAAAATTATATTCCGAAGCAGGATAACATCTTAGTACATACCTAGCTCCAGTAGGATCTTCATTCGTTATGATCACCATTGGTGGCAATATTGGACGCATTTTTACAAATTTCTCCTCCAAATTTGCAATTTCTTTCTCTGAAAAGGAATATGCGGCAAATAAATAAGTGCATATATAAAACGCATAGGATGCAAAAGCACAGCAGAGACGATTTTGATATAAAAGTCGCTATCCTCGCACAGGATGCTAAAACACCAATGCGCAAACTCCTCGAGGCTTTTTGGATAAGTGCCAAAAATTCTACAATGAATAGCAGAGAGGAACGCCTCAAGATCATGCGTGATCTTGCCCCTTACCTTCCTATCGATCGTTGGTGTGGGGAGGTGAAGTCATCAACAATATGCGACTCTGAGCGGCTGTTCTTCCTGCGTGGAAGACAGGTTGGAAAAAAGCGGTGGGTTTTTTTCGAGAAGCTGTAGATCTTGTAATTAACGTGCAGACTTTCATCTTTCTGTTTGTGCTGTTGAAGTGTTTGACCTAGTAAACTGCGTATTAGTGTACCCTTCCAGGCTCTGAAGAAGGCGTTTCTGCCGAAACGTCAGCCACGATTGTGTTGTTTGTGTGTTACTGTATGGAAGTAAACGCGTGCTATTTAACAACCTCGCGATTACTGAGAGAAAACGACGAATTTAAAATCAACTGCCGAGATTAATAGGAATTCGATCCTGGATAAAAAAACCTTATTAGACTACGTTCTAAATTGTTCCTAACACGTTAAAACATTTTCTTAATTAACACAGTCCATCTTACCATCCCACGCGTTGTCAAAATCAATGAGAAGCGGACGAGCAGTCCAGTTATGTCTACAAATCAGCTCAAGTACACGACGAAATGCTGCTAATGACGTCCTGAAACAGCCAACCTACCAGATGACTATGAAATACTCCAACATATAAGATTTTGTATTGCGCACAGAAAACAAACATTTCGGAAAGCAGTTTGGAAAAGTAAAACGGACAAAAGACATTGAAAAGGAAAAGCTACAGAAAGTGGAACTTACTGAGGCGGTGGTTGGACAACGTCCTCAAATACAGATACAACAATCATTTCTAATGCCAAGTCGTGGACTGCGCCCGTCATGTAATGAGCTGATAACCACCTGGCGAAAAGCGTATCAAACACTTTTATTAGAATGCTATTTTAAAACCAATACGAATTAAATCCAGAAATGAATAGGCTTAAGTACCATAGAGACGATAGAACTAAGACAAGTAGGCAAATAGGTAGAAAAAAAGAACGTCGAGTATAAAGGAAAAATAGAACATCTTGGCAGAAAAATTGAACCACAAGGAAAACAGTGCAAAAAAGCTGTAAGAAAGAAAAAACAACAGAATTTTAAGCTTAAGTCGTACCTTTTTAATATTTGAACGGTTTCCCCATAGGCTATGTATTTGGTCGCACACGAATGTAACGAAGCTTGTAGACGGGCTTCATACAAATACCCAAAAAATCGAACGATATAAACAAAATAATACAGATAAAATCAGGATCAAAGAACTCACCGTTTTTTCCACTTTTCTAGCTGCTCTCTCTCCAAACTCATCTCCATCTGGGACACTCCATTAGACTTCATTTCAGCCACTCTTCGCTCCAATATTTTCAAAACTTTGTCAAGCACTAAGACAAGTTTGAACGCCACGCCATCCTCAAAATGATTAATCATTAGTTTATTTTAGATATAACTGTTTCAAACTTCGATATAAATGCTTTCAAATTGGGACAGGACTATACGAAGACATATTTCACTACAATCAAAGATTAACGGGTACATTTAACCGGAATGAACAACGGTATGGGGAGGCCACGTATCCCTGTTCTAGAATTTGGATAGTTGGATGATCTGTCCCTACTGATTGTGGGGCCTCCAGAATATTCTCCGAAGTTTTGCTAACTTAGCCATTGTGTTTCGCTAAAGTCTTGAAGTCAGCCTTGTCAAAGTGTGCCCTTGGTCGCCACCACCATAGGTAGTCGCTGCTCTCATGAATCAGATGGAATTTGCCACTACGCGACTGGTTTGATAGCAGGGCGGTGGTGGATCCTGGTATTGGTTACGGTTAGCTGGACTTCCTGATGGAAACGCCGAACTCTTTCTCAGCTTGGTTGACCATGCCGGTGCGATGAAACACCCCGCTGTACATCGCAGCTCGACACCTCCCAGCCACGATGAGGCGAAAAACAATTGGGAGGATTAATCCGGAATTAAAATAAAAAACGAAAACCATTACCGGAAATCTAAAACACGGACAGTCGTTGGACTGCAATTAGATGAAAACTAACCAAGCTAACTTGAAACGTATGGAATCAAGGTGTGCTTTTATTCACAATTAGCATTTCCCTGGCTAGGTATTCCACTGGATGTTCAACTTATTCAAAGGAGAATGAACGAAAAATAACGCTATTTTGAAAAGTGACAATCTCTTTATGCCAGTCGCTTCTTAGTCCAACAAATCTAATAAGAACAGACGAGAATCTAGAATGAAAAAAACTCTAGCAACATCAAATTGAAAAAAGTATCGAAATTATAAACCTTCACGACGAACAACTGGTCTTCCGTGGGGACCGCAATCAGGCTATGTTTTCTTCTGAGGTACTTCGCAATCTGTGAAAAGAAGTTGATTTCACATAACTGTTAACTAATCAACTAAGATGACGCTGAGATATTTTTAAAACTCCGGACCGCAGTTATATGCAGTGGGGAACGAACGGGCTATTGTCCTTTCCGGGGAGTAACGCGTTCACCACCACACCATGCGGGTTCAGCTAGCCATGTTGATTGGTGAGAGACAAGCGAAACGAAGAACCAGCATGGTGTGGCGCTGAACGCGTCACTCCCTGGAAAGAACACAATAGCGACTTCGCTTCCCACCGCAGACAGCTACTGTCCGGTGTTTTGCAAATATCTCAGCATCATCTTAGTTGTATTTCACATAATACCCTGCCGTTAAAAATTATAGTAGGCAGAAAATAAAAAGTTAAGATTGGTAAATAATCGTTGCAAAAAGTAGGCAGAGATGAAACGCTAACAACTGACACGTTTGCGATTATACGGCTTTTGAGGAGATCACGAAAATTCATCCACAACTAGAACACTTGAGTAAAGAATCCCAAAGAGCTATCGCCCGATCGCTTTAAGTTTATAAAAACTTCTCTAAAACATTACTTATCTTTTGAGCCGGTAGTAAATTGAAAACTAGAAACATATCAACACTACTAAAGAATCTAAAACTTATTCTTAACGCTAACACTGAAACCATTCACAACGATAACGTACTCGAACGTATTACAGTGTCCAGGTAACATTTGTGAATACAAGATTTTTCGAGCTATTTAGTCAAGAGGTTGTGTGGGTACACCTCAACACCTCTGAGCCTGAGTAAAACTCAGTTTCCATTGAAAATCAAAATCCATTGGATAAATGGGTCGTTTAAAAAGAGTGGAACAGATTTCATAACAAAAATTCCCTTGTAGCTACACATATCGAGCTTTTTTTCTTCAATATATGATACCCTTAAAGCGATGTATAACTGTTAAATTGTGAACTCTGAGTTCTTCATCAATATCTCGATTATTTTTCAGAGAGATAGTTTCTATCTGCGCTATTTGGCGCCCTATTCTTAGTGTATTCTTCACAAGCTGTCACGAAACTATGTCAAATTTGAAACTTATGTACCAAAACACTGTAATTGTACCACCTTCGCACTTTCACTTCAACCAACACAAAATCGTTGTAGATTAAACGTATTACACGGTAACTAGTTAAAGAGTTAGTGAACAAACAAGATTGGTGTGCAACGACGATATAAGCAATGAATTTTATAGAAGTTAGAACGACATAATCCGCCGTTGCTCTTGAACCAAACGAATTTTAATACGCTTCACTAGCGAAAGGCCTTCAGAGAAACTAAATAGATATTGCAGGCTACTTCACAAAAAATGCCTCAAAAACGCTGCTGTCAGAACATTCATCCTCAAGTGATGATTCAAAAAAGCAAGTGCTTTTCATCTTAATAAACTGCCTCAGTAGCCTTTTTTAATGAAACTCGAAGAAGATGAATAAAAAAACATCATGAGCTAACAATAAATGAATGAAATACATAAAAATAATGTTGGCGCTTCTACGACTCGCTAAGTGATCTATTTCACGTCTTCGCCTGATAACTTCTACGCTTCAGTTTAAGCAAAACGACATATCTCCTAATTGACCCAGTATCTCTCACGAAGAGTGAACTTGTGGGTCACTAAATATCAGAAGATAAGCATACCTCTATGTAGAAAGCAGCAGATAAATGCAACACACCATCAATCGTATCTCCCCACTTTCCCGAATACTCCAACTTTAGATATACTATAAAACGCAATACATGAACCAGAAATCAGTTTCTAATAACTAAAGTGTCATCAATTACTGTGAATAATACTTAAAAGTAGTTCAGAATACATCAATACTAATATATATGCAACTTTATTTATTTCATTATTTCGCACTTTAAAATCGATAGACCAGCATGTCCCATAATATACCTACTTAAAACACATAAGTTGGTACCACCTGATGACCATGCGTCAACTAATCCGCCATCATTTAAGGTTACACCGATCATCAGCTGTGTAAACGGGTCAACGGATAGAATAACCTGGTTTTTAAGCCTGATACTTACCCAGTTGCTTAACCAAATTCCAGCTCACCTCACAAACACCCAAATGTTCTTAGAACGTCTACGTAACGCGTCTCCTAATAACGCGTACGTGATGGAGTCTTTCGACGTTACCGCACTGTACACCAACGTATCGAATGACTCCGCAATGCAAGCCATCTTCGAACTTCTTGTTGAACATGAAGGACGAATAAATATGCATGGCTTGTCCATCCAACAGCTAATGGCTCTCTTAAAGGAGTGCCTAAACTGCTCGATTTTCAGATGGTCTGGGAAATATTTCGCGCAAATAAGGGGGTTGGCAATGGGACAGTGATTAGCACCAAACTTTGCCATTGTGTTTATGACTAAGATAGAAGCCCCTGTTCTTGATCTCCGACCACTACTCTACTGCAGATATGTAGATGATTGTTTTGTCGTCTTCTCTACGCAGAAGATGGACAAATGCTTCGAATTATTGAACGAGCAGTCCAAGTACATAAAGTTCACCCGGGAGAAACCGAGAGAAAACTGGCTTCCGTTTTTGGACGTTCAAATAAACTTATCAAGTAACGGTTACTTGACAAAGTGGTATCGAAAGCCAAGTAACAAAAAAATTCTTGTTCATTTCCTTTCTTCCCACCCTTCACACACAAAGAGGGCGATTGTGAGAAACATGTTTCGAACAGCCACTTCTGTGTGCATTACCAGGGAACTAAAGGAAGAATCGCGCGACTTGGCTCGGCAAATAGCCATCTCCAATGGCTACGAAATAGTAACCCCACGAGATAAGTTTACAAGGAGAACGACGCGCCCACGCGAAACACTTGGCCAAAACAAAATCCCGTTTATGTTGCCTTTTATAAGCGATGAAGTAAGCGCAGCTATAAAACGATGCTTAAGAAGGGCAGGTCTAGAGGAATCGGTAGCGATAGTTGAAATACCACCGACTACTCTACGTCGCCAATTAGTTCGCAACCGCCTGTATGACCGTCTGTGTGAAACAACAAATTGCGTAATTTGCCCTTACGGCAGGGACGGTGATTGCATGAGTTCAGGTACGACATACCTGATCTCTTGTAATAATTGCGGAGATGAATATATTGGCGAAACGGGCAGACCTTTGCGTATCCTTATAAAAGAACACTTAGATGGCAAACGAAAACTAAGACAAAGTACCCCACTGGGCACCACGCATAGGATACAAAAGCATAGTAGAGACGATTTTGAAGTAAAAGTCAATATCTTTCCACAGGAGTCCAAAACACCAGCGCGAAAACTCCTTGAGGCTTTTTGAATAAATGCCAAAAACCCTACAATGAATAGCAGGGACGAATGCCGGGAGGTCATACGCGACCTGATCCCGTATGTTCGCATCGATTTTTGATGTGGGATGGTGCAGTCGTCAACCATATACGACTATAATCAGCTGTTCTAAACTTCCTCATTGGAAGTCACGTAAAAAGCGGTGAGTTTTCCGAGAAGCTGTTGATCATGTAATTACCATAGTTTTCGTCTTTTTGTAAATGTTATTGGAGCGTTTGACCTAGTAGATTGTATATCAGTATACCCTTCCAGGCACTGAAAAAGGCGATACTGCCGAAACGTCAGCTAGCGTTGTATTGTATTGTGTTTCTCTATGGAAGTAAATGTATGCTGTTTAAAAACATCGCGATTGTTGAACAAGAAAACGACACATTCATATTCCAATGCCGAGGTTAATAGAAAGTCGATCCTGGGAACTATTACAAGATGTACCAGCAAAATACTTTCGACTTGTGAAGGAAGCATTGTCACTAAGAGAGAAGATTATACATTAATATTAATATATATGCAACTTTTTTTGTTGGCACGGATGTAACGCAGCGTAAAAATAAAACCGACCATTACCTTAAAGTTGACTGACTATAAATTTCTATTAGAAATAACATGCAACTTCACGTAAGGAAGGCACGAAATAAACGAACCAGTCACAGTTGCCGTGTACGGTGGAATGGCACGTTGTGCCGGCACTCGACGACCGTCCTCAATGGTTCCCTGCTCGGTGCTGCACAACACATCGGATGCAGAAGGCTTGAAGTAGAGTGATCTCGTCGAACATGATTAGTCCATGGTACATAATTATGCTGCTATTTAACACTTAAAGACTGAGATGAATGACAGAGTGACCGCCATGAAAAACATATGTGTCACTTTCTCTTTGGCTCCTTCTTTGGCCGCACAAAGTTCCTTTTTTCGCTATATCTTTTATATTCAATCAATAGCTCATTCAATACAAACGTGTCGTAGAGACCGTTGCTGGAAAGGACGATGCAAATTTAGCGAGGGTGTCAAAAATGAGAGCGTTCCTCGAATCTCTCCGCCACCACCGACTGATGTCCTGCACAGGTGACGCGCCCTTTCTACAAATATGGCAGTACAATTGTTGTTGTTAATGAAGACGGCAATGAGCAGGGCTGCTCAGAAATTAATGTCAAGTTTGCAATTTCATTCCTCTCGTATCTATTTCGGCAAAAGTTCTTCCTTCAAATTTTCCACTATTATATACCTCTGGATCCGGGTGTGACGCTTAAATCGGAGAGCTATGTCCAGCACATCGACGAACCCCAGAAGCACTAGAAACTACAGCGGCTACGTCCCGACCAATTAACGAAAAGCACTAATCTTTCTTCACAATAGCACGCACGCACACGTCGAAGTAACGACGCTTCAGAAATCGAACGAGTTGCCCTACGATACTCTATTTCACATACCATACTCGCCAGACCTCTTCCTACCCATTACCACTTCTTCAGGCATCTCGACAACATTCTGTACGGGAAATGCTTCGGAAGATAAACCTAAGTTGAAACTGCCTTCGGAGACTCTACCGTCTATAGAAGCCCACAGTTTTATACAATGGGTATAAGTAAACTTCTAGTTGCCAAAAATGCGTAGATCCTAATGATTTTTATCGTTTATTTTAGGATGAAATATGCTCCGTTGAAAACATAGCTTGAAATCCGACACTAATTCTGGAGAACGTCGTAGTACTCGTAGGTGATGCAGATCAGCCAATGAACTGCCCTCAAGTCATGGAACGAACTGCGAAAAACTAGGCGTTGTATCACGTTGCTGTGGATATGCTCTTATGCCGATTGCTTCGAAGTGTTATGTACAATAACCTTCAAATAAACTCGTGTGCGCTTATCCATAAACTACGATATACACTTAACTGTAATTATCTTGGAACCATGTTGTAAAAAATGGTTTCGATGCCCACTATGACCTACCAATACCATTCTGCCACAAAATGAAAAACATATGGGAACCAGAATAAAGGTCGCTTTACTTTTTGGCTCTTATGAGCTACCGACTACAGCCTGTTTATAAAATCGAAACCTCTACATCAAGCTCATGGTGTTGAACTAAAATGGAAATCCCACCTCTGTATCTCTAATGTACGAGCTGACGGCTTGTATGTTAGTGATCATAAGCGGTAAACCTTTGGCCGATCTCAGTATAGCGCTGAGACCAGCAAACGCAGACGTGATGTTCACATTAACATCTCTTCGCGATAAGAACTCCGTTGGAAGGGCACTCCGCCAAGATATGCACTCTGCTGGCAGATTAAAGTGGCTAGAAAAAAGAAAGGCACGTTGTATAGGAAATGGTCAGTCCTAAACGTTTTCAATCAGTGAGTAATGATGACTTAGCTATTATCACAATATCGACACGACAACAAAAAATCGACATGAAAAGAATGACATAGGTTTGTCCCTAAAAGAATAGCGACAATAATCAAAATTGGGAAAAAGTAGACATATTTCAATAAAGAACGAATCTGCGTGAACGTAACTTCAGTTTGCACGTTTCCTGTGAATGCAAACAACTAGTAAAAAGTAGGAATAAATCCCATTGCAGAAGCTTTTTGATAAGTCGGTGAATAGACAAAGGACCAATGATAACATCAGAATATTTTTTAACTTATTATTTACTGCCTACTCTTTTTAACGGCTGGGTATACATTGTGAAATATAACTTCAACGATGCTGAGATATTTGCAAAACTCCGAACCGCAGGTGTATGCGGTGGGGAACGAACGCGCTATTGTCCTTTCCAGGGAGTAGCGCGTTCACGACCACACCACATGGGTCCTTCGTTTCGCCTGTTTCTCAGTTGGTTTTATACCCTACCGTTAAAAAGAGTAGGCAGTAAATAATAAGTTAAAAAATTGTGATTATAACTGCGGTCTCAGCTTAACTGGGTTCGTTGCCGATTTGCCCCCCAGATCAATCCCGCTGACGGGTGACTGCTGATGGCAAAAGATCGATAGAACTAGCTGAGAGACATGCGAAACGAAGGACCCGCGTGGTGTGGTGGTGAACGCGCTACTCCCCGGGAAGGACAATAGCGCGTTCGTTCGCCACCGCATACACCTGCGGTCCGGAGTTTTGCAAATATCTCAACATCATTGAAGTTATATTTAACATCAGAATATTTTAGCAGATTTATTAACTTATATAATCATTATGCCTCTCAACGGTTTACCGCCTCTTCGTAGACAAGAGGTGTTCGCATGGTGGCAAATCCCCCTCTGATCCACAAAGGCAGCGACTGCCTGTAGTGGTTATAACCTGGGGCAGACTTTCGCTAGGCCGATCTCGGGACTCCAAGGAACCGCAGTGGTTAGACCAGCAAAACTACGAAAAAACGAAAATTATGTTGGAACTAGCACAACCACTGAAGACGGACTATCCAAGTATTCAAGCAACCAGTATGAGTATACCAAAGTGAACACACAGCAGTTAGAATAATCTTACTTGGCAACGATGAACTGAAGAATTGAATAAGGAACTGCCATCGATGTGGTGTCTGCCCAAATCATACACTCGCAAATTCGAGCATCCGCAAATTTTCGTAGCTGCGTTTTCTCTTTCCATAGCTGCCGAAATTCTGAATATCAGAGCTTTTCAGGAATTCACTTCTAGACAGATGTACACAAAATGCAAAAATAAAATCAATTTGAAATCACACCGACCTCTAGCCTTAGGGTCTGTCGCCAAGGGGCCTACAGTAATTGGATTTGCCCATCCTTTTCCAACACGAAATCCGATAAGAAATGAGGCAAAGTGCAACTTTAAAAAGTGTAAGATTTTTTCAGAAAGCTATTAGATACTTTTTTTAGCTCTGTGAAAGCAAACCAAACGTACCTTTTCACATTGCAGATGCTGTATGTACATATTATCAAAACGTTCATCCATACATTCATGAATACGCTGAAATAAGAATATTGTAGAAGTTCTATTATATCGAAATAATCGGATTATAAATTTATACTCTCCTGAAAACAATTTAGTCCAAGTGCCTCGGAATTTTGAAGGCCTCTCTGTAAGCACAGCTTTACGTCTTAACGCCTTCACATCTGTACTAATTTTTGTGTTTAAGGTTTCTGTTCAATTAAAGCCATATAAATAAAAATGAAAAGCAATGAAAATAAAAAAGCGACTATTTCTGGAGAAATGCAAACATTGATTTGGATGTTACAACTTAAGAGTGTATCGTTAAGTTTTATCGAAGAACCGTCAACGAGAATGAAATAAAACCATTATTTCAAAAGTTTCGTCACAAAGATGACAGCCTTCGCGATGAAGATCAGCGCTTACTCGCTATCATCGACAATAACCAAACAAGGACATGACAACACTTGCAATCTGACATCTAACTCTTGTGTACCTATCGCTTTTAATTGACGCCAATTTTTCGTCGCATTCACTGTGAGTTTGCAACAATTAAGCTTAGAGGACTTCTATATATGAAACGGAATCCTATTCGAATGTGATCGGCAGATTAGCGACGATCAGGCCGAAGATTAGGAGCCGCTAGTGGAAGGACTTAAACCTTGTGCCAAACTCGCCTGAGTTCCTCAAACAAGAAGTTAGGACCGCATCGCCATCTTCACCGAAGTTGCTCGAAAAGAAAAGGAAAGTGAAGTGTGATCCAATTGCAACACAGCTAACACGGCAGATGATAAATTCCAGCTGTAGAAGAGCCTTGCAGGAGGATTCACATCGGTGTAAGCAGAAAAGTATAGGAAGCAGCTTAAAAGGTAGTCAGAAGAAGCATTGTAGAGATCTTTGCGACTATAATATCCTGCAATCCGCTCTAATGAACTAAGATGGGACTTCCACCACAATAAGGAAAAAGTTCTACGCGATTCTGTTCTGTTCCACAACTGCCGTCTTTGACGCCGAAATCGCTACTTCAGAAAACCATCCTCGATTCATCCCCTAAGGTTATAGTTCCGATATAAAACATGAAGAGAGGCATAGCTCCAGAAACTGATAATATCAGCACCGACTTGCTATGAAGTGGAGGGCACAAATTACAAGTACTCTCGCTTCCCAAATGATATCTTACTACCAGAAAAAGAAAGTCCCAAATCAGTGGACCTCGAGCACGATCATCTTACCCAAGAAGAGCGACCGAAAAAATCTTCGTTACTATTGTCTAATGTGCACATCAATCTGCTATGGGAAATGGATGACTGGGTTAAAGCCGAAGACCTAAACTAACATTTAAAAAACGTTGTGGTGACTGCTTCGTGTTCAGCAGATGAAATCATCCCTCACAACGTTTTGAATCCTAACCAAACTGAAGTAACGATTTCTCTTGCTCAACAAAGCCCGACCACCTATCGAATAAGTACTCTGTATAAACCTTTAAAAGAACTTGTAAGCAAAACTTTACTTCGACTAGTACTTATCGGACCTTATACCAACATCGTGTTTTCAGGCATCTCAACAGCTAGTTCGCGTGAAAATCTTCAACCCTTGATAAAAATGCCTTCAGAAAACTTGTCGTCACCAAAACTTCAGGACACCACCGTGATCGAACAAACAAGCTCATGAAAAGTTACGTTGGAAAAACGTTTCTATTTCAACCGTTTGTACTTCGATTAACGAAGCTGTACAATGGTCCGAAAACGTTAAGCGTTATCAAAAACTGGACAAAAAATTCCATAGATGAATATGGACAGAATTACTCCTCTGTTTAACGAGTCGTTCTCGCACCATATGCCACACTTCCTTTAACATACCTCTCATCCCTATCTTTACATATGGCTGCTAAAAAAATTGCTTACCGCAGTAAACATCTTCGTAAACTTTGCAATACGGTCATTCTCATCCACCGTGTCTAGCAAGAGATCAGAAATCGTGCATAGTGATTCCAAGCACTTTGGCGTTAAATCCAGCCTGAAAAGTGTGAAGTTACAAAATTAGTTGACGAGGTATGCAAACTACTAATGGAGAAACTGCTTAGAATTCGATCTAACCACAAGGATGCTGCGACATGAGCAAAACGCGGAATCTCAGCTGGGTTTAGAATCCGTGATTACTGATTTCGGGGTCTAATGTGTTACCACATCTACTACTAATCCACCACATCTACTGAGGTCCTTCCTTTGCCTTTCTTTCAGTCACTTTTTAAACTCTAGCGGTGCAATGAGCACTTACCCGTCAACGGGATTGATCTGGTGAGCATAAATCGGCATTAAATCCAGTTAAGCTAGGGCTATAGTCGAAGCCACAATGCTTTAACTTTTATCTGTTGCCTATTCCTGTTTCATCGCAGGGAATTATGTAAAATAAAACCACAAGGATAGTGAGATATGAGTAGAACTAGAAACCAAAACTCGGCCGAAAGAAGGCAAAGCAGAGGCTTCGTTGGTGCAGTGGACAACACGTAAACCCCCAGAAAGGGCAATCGCAGGTTCGAAGAGCAGCTGAGGTTGCGAGTTTTGCTTATGTCTAAGTTTCTTTGTGGTTGTATTTCATATAATACCCTGCCAATTAGAAGGAATGTGCAGTAAATAAGAGTTAAAACATTGTAGTTCAATCTAGCTCAAGAAATACCCGATGAAGAAATGGAATCTACTAAGAGCGAGAAAGACTGCTCGTAATAATCATTTCTGCATCGCAATGGTTCGATTTGATTTAAAAAATACTTGAACTAACTATGGAAAACGTTAACAGAGGAGGTTACCAATAGTATTCAGTTCACAAATGAAATAACTCTGAAAATTACCTGAAGTAATGATCGAACAGAGAGTAGAAGCAATGAGATTCTAGAAAAAGTGCATCGAAGGATAGGTAGTCCCCTAGCAGAGTTAAGGAGTAACCTACATCTGCTTTTACCTACAATGGAAATTACCCACACTCCAAACAAACTCCTAGCACGAAAATTTAAATTAAATTTCAACTTAAGCTAGAGTAGTCGTATAAACTAACCAATAAAAAAGATTCCATAGAAATTCCACTGGCTATATTAAAGTATCCGGTACTATCAAGAAAGACCACTGGGAAAGCTGACAGGTGTGCCGATATGATAGAACTGTCTAGGTTGTCCGGATAGAAGCCCATTGGAGAAGTGTCCCAGTTGACTACACTAGGTATGAACTATACAACGCGTTAAAAATTTCCACTAAATAGACGGTGGACGGCGACTGAATGGAGTTAAATCGACAATTGGAAACTTCGAAAAGAACAGAATGCAATGCGTCAGATTACATAGAAATTCAAAGTGAAACTACATCCTCCATGCAAAAGAATAGCTATACCTATAAAGTTCGACAAACACAATTTCAATTAACTTCACTATTAATAAAAAACATTTTCAACCGATTTCTTTGGTCAGTTGAATAACACCTGCACAAATCAAAAGAAATAATTAAGAGTAATTTTTTATTCTTATTTTCATATCACACGTCTTAACGTCAATAGTGCGGAGCACTTCTAAGATTCGATTCGTCTCCTTGCATCCGTTAACCACAAAGATCGCCTAATCTTTACGTGTGACTTCGGCTACTGCTTGGGGATTTTCATTAGATCTTGTATGCAGTAGAATGCTGGCCGAGACGATTGTCACAGGAGTCCTGAGATGGCTGGGTTGGAGCGTTCCTAATTTGACTGCAGAGAGCGATTTTTTCCCAGACAGGTTCGGTACCAATTTTCGAACCCCGAAGGAATGGCAGGTTTGGTGGACCCAGAACGGAATCGAACTAGGATTATACTCGTGAAGATCGACATCACTACCACTGTGCTACCCACCCCATCTCCCTAAGAAAAGAATATGCATCGAAAATGCTTTTTTTAGTACAGACAGAACTAAAAGAACACAGTGGTTTCTCAAATTAAGTACTACCAACGACTCTTACCGATAGCCAGAAAAAAGTTCCGCAAGACTGTCAGTAAATCTTGCTGTTCAGCGACAACATTTCTATATAGCAGGTGGACCATAAAACATGCCAGAAACATGCCATCGAACTAAATCGGGGACCTTCACGGATGTACAAAGAATATTACAAAGAAATAGTTTAAAATCTCTAAAAACACATAACAGAGAGAATAATTAACTGACCTCAAACAGACCTCTACACGAAAACCAACGACTCGCAAGAGCAAGAGCCGATATCAACGTTTTCTTCGGAAGAAGCTCCGCAGAAATTTGTCGAATTATATCCGATTCCAAAAGAGTACGCAGCACTCGTTGGTTAAAAAGTGGTGTATTTTTATTATCTGAACATCTAGTTCTCCCACACTAAAGCTAAACCTTGCAAAGTGGAAATGACTACAACCGAAAGAGTCGATTTTCTCCGGAATCTTGGGATAGCTTACTAGAGCGTTTCCATATGGACAGCAGCGAACGCGATTGTCCCAGACAAATCTGGCACGAATTTCCCCATCCCGGAGGTATGCGCGGCTTGATGGATCCTAGGAGGGATCGAAGCAGGGTTGGGCTGTCTGCGTAATGAAGGAGTTCACCACAACTGCGTCCCTTTTCTTGAGGACGGCAATGCAGAATTCTGACAAGAAACTTTTCGGCTTGTTAAAGCACTTCTGCATCCATAGAATTGAAGGCTCTCCTCAACACGATAGAAACTAGACAACGACGGGCCTAAATCTAAGCCTAAGAGCAAAATAATGGTTTATCCATTATCTTTTGCAAGCCATCATTTTCGAAATTCTAACTGCCCAGATAGCTACTTTTCTAAACCGTCACTCATGTTAGGGACCCACTTGGTTAAAAAGTTGTAAACAACTGATAATAAGTAGACTGGCCCATAGGTTTTGACATTTTTTGCAGCACAATTTGCAACAATAAATTCCTAGTAATTTTCTTTTGTATAAGTACTTCGTATTTCTACGGATGGAATGTGAATAGCCAACTCATAGTGTTAATGAGGGCTGACAATGGCACACACACACACACACACACACACACACAAATCGGATTTTGGAACTGAGAACCGCTAAAACGAAAAAATAACCAAGAAAAGATCTTCGGATAGGTTTCTCTTGATGACTTCTATATTCTGTACTTTATTGGCGCTGTCAGGGTGGTCTTGGAGAAATCTCTTATATTTCTCTTTAAAGGTGTTCACAGTGATATAATCGAAAAACCCATGAAGAAAAAAAAAACAAAGTTTCAATTTATAGTAGTTCTAGATCTTTCTAAAACGTTTTGTAAAGGGAGAAAAAAAGTGAACTACCACATAAAAATCACTAAAGATAAGATTAAACAGAAAAACTTAGCAACACGCTAGATGACCTATAATTGTATGCTAAAACGTACCTTTACCATCGAAATTAGGATAAATAGTGGACATTCGAAGGTTTGACACATTAGGAGAGAAACGCGAGATTTTCGCCAGAACCATATTAGATGCGCCAAAGTGGATTAAAACGGATCCTGCCAACGTTTTATCTGAGAAAAAGAAAATAACTACAACTTTGAAAAGTTGAGGCCTCGCCTGAAACAGGTAGATCGAAATCGCACATGACCGTCATGAAAAAGGTAGACTTTAATGAATATTTGCTAAAGGTACGTCAGACATAAACACAACATATTTTAAATAAAACTCATAAGTCCTCCCAACGGTTTACTGCCTCATCGTGGCTGGAAGCTGTTCCTGGGTGTCGGCTTGCAATGTACAGCGGAGGAATTCATCACCTTGGAGAGTTTCCCTAGCTGGGAAGAAGTCCGGCGCTTCCATCAGGAAGCCCAGCTAAGAATAAACCAATGCCAAGATCCACTGTCCTTGTATCAAACTAGTCACATTGTGGCAAATCTTCCGCTAATCCACAAGGGCGGCGACTGCCTGTGGTGGTGACGACCTGGGGCAAACTTTGGCCTGGCTGACCTCGGGACTCCAGGGAACCACAATGGCTAAACCAGCACAACTCCGAAAAGATGGAGATTATGCTGCTGCCTTCACAACCAGTGAGGACGGGCCATTCAAGTATCCAAGTAACTTGTGAATAAAAAGTAGTTAACAACTCGACAACCAGTAAGCTTACAATAAACGAATGTAATTGGGATGGTGATTGCACTTACACGTTGAGAAATACAATCTAACTAACCAGCAACTCTGATAATCGGAAACACTTTATCGCCCGCAAATCCTGGATGAAAATCCACGTCGAATTCGTTGTGCACGTTCCGCAAAGCAACCAAAGTGCTGCAAAGGTAGTGCGCACGCTTCGCCGGATATGTAAGATTAACATAATCTCGCTTCCCGAATAAACTCTGAAAACTAAAGCGTTATTAATAAAATTAAGATTCTTCAATTATTTTAGGGAATAATATGACAGCTTCAGCCAAAATACACCCAGAGGAATAACATAACGAGTATGAAAGTGAAGAAGTAGCAGTTTTGTAAAAAAAAAAGGTTGTAAACAAAACCAATAACTGTGTTGGAGAAAAGAAATCGTTAGTAACAGAACTAATACCGTACTGGAATAAATTCTGTTATTAAGGACTCTTTTTCAAGTGGTGTAGTGGTCGGAGGCACCCTGCAATACACACGGGAGCGATCCCGGCGTCCCAGACTCTCCATCGCTCCGGGATCTGCAAATTGTCACCAGACTTCTCTGGAAGGATAGCAGCACTGGCTCGATACATCGGTAAACCACCGCGAGTCATTGTAAACGCCAGATAAGCATTCAATAACCTCCAACGATGATTAATGAAGTCGAATGCATGGAACATCTCTCAGGGATTAATCAGCGCCGACAGCTCTATCCTCTTTTACGGAATGAATTATCCCATTGCCAACTTTAATACATTTTAACATGCGGGAATGTTAAATTTTGGATAACAAAAGCATTTGTTGAGAGGAGAACGAGTAAACCACATGATTGGAACTTGATAAACTTACGGAAAAGAATTTTCTGCATCGTTCTAAAAGAGCGAATAATTCTTCTATGATGCGCCTTCAGCTTGAATGCTTCTTATCAAGTATTCAAAACTTTATGAAATCTCGTATAAAGTGAGATATGCACCCATAGATTCAAAACAACCCGCATTGTCGCTAACATTTTTAACGCTTCTGTAATCACCATTATACTTACTTGCTTGGATACTTGGATGGTTCGCCCTGTGGTTGTGCGGACCATAGCATAATTTCGTCTTTCGGAGTTTTGCTGGTTTAGCCACTGTGGTTTTCTGGAATCCCGAGGCCAGCCTAGCCAAATCTGCTCCGGGTGTCGCCACCACAGGCAGTCGTCGCCGTTGCGTATCAGAGGGAGATTTGCCACCTTGCTGCAATTGGTGTGGTACCAGAACTGTGGTGAATCCTGGTATTGGTTTACCCTTAGCTGGGCTTCCTCATGGAAACGCCGGACTCCTTCTCAGCTTGGGAGACCCTGCCAAGAGATGAATCCCTCGTTGTACATCGCATCTCCACACACAGACACACCTCAACCACGATGAGGCGTTAAACCATTTGGAGGAATCATCAGCATATTAGTATTTAATTATGGCTGTCATGTGAACAGAAAGTCGTTCGCAGTTTTAAACAACAAGTGGAACTCACCTCTGGTAATGTCACGAAGACATCAACGATGAAGTTGCGAGCACGTAACAGATGTACAACAGAATCGCCGAAAATCGTAACCTGAAGAACTCCACTGGATTGTAGACAGCCACAGAGAATGCACGTATACAAGGAACACAAACTGTGTAAACCACTACATTTTGGGGCGCTGCCCATCTGTACACTGGTACACTCGAGGTCGTTAGCGCAACGGCGTTTGCATGCTCGATAAGCGGATGAGTGATGCCAAATGTTGACCAGTACCCCAAATCTTTGTACTAAAATAATCTCTTGGGAATAGTGAAAAAATTCCTTCGAGTCCATACTTCTAAAGATGCAAGCAATCCCTACGAAATGACATCTTTAAAAAATCGCACGCAACGTAATTTCAAAAACGTATTTTTTTATCACAATCCCGGACAAACATCTGACTTATGAAAAAGTCTTCACATGCTATATCCTTCTCACCTCACAACAATGCTTCAACTTCACACTTTTCAGTGTATCCGAGACTGTTCTTGCTACTTTCTCCCATTTCCGTATAACTTGGCCAGAAGCATGACGACCTTTTTCTGCATCTTCACACTGAAAGGAAAAATATGTTCAAGAACCACATTGCTGATCCACGTTGCGAAGTAGATCCAGGTCGATCTGAAACGGAGCACAGATCCAATGCCACTGATGGGAAATTTGATTGAACCCGACCACTTTTGACTGAATTGCGTAGGTCAGAACGTCTAAAGAAGGTGACCTACGTCGAGTCCATTCTCTAATTTCAGGATTCTTATCATTGTCCAATACGATTACACCTGTATTTTTTTCTACGAGTATAGTACCAAACTTGGATGCGACTTCTACTAGTTAACCCTTCACGCGTACCACTCTATGTACATGTCGCATCTTCCGCGTGCTGCAGCTACTGAACAGCATTCAGGTGTCCAGTGCTTGACGACTCTAGACGTGCTGAACAAGATGTGTACGAAGTGAAATCACTACCTGCAACTGGAAGGCGCTCGAGAATGCTTTCGACGGCAATTGCCGTACACTTTCATCTTCGATTCGAGTTCTTTTCATTAACGGCTGGAGCAAAACTAATTTAGAACTTCTCTTGATGATGCTGCGGTGATCCTACAGCTACTTAGGTCAAATCTGCAAAACCAATTACGCAGTATGAAAAACATAATGCATTTTAACGCCAGTGACCCAGACGTTAATGCACTGCCTTCATTGATAGCTTTACTATCCGCATTTGGAAACATGTTCAAAAACCGCACCAGCCAAGGATAAAGCAAAAGGTATCCTTCCAGACTGATACTAGCGGAATGCAACCGAAACATTCAGAACAGTGAGCACTCCAAAAAAACAACAACTATTTACCATTTAGAAAAACACCATGTACAAATACGCAGAATTTCACCTAACTGAAACTCGGACAATGCAACATAAGTGCATCATAATTCTGACTGCAAATTGTTATTTTCCCTTGTAGAGCAAATTCACCTTCACTACATAAAAAATTGAAATCGTATGTAGAATTCAACATAATTTGGCAATAGAACAACGCAGGAAAATAACCTTGCACAAACAAATATGAAAATGTAGTTGAAAATTCCAATAATGGTTAAAACATAACACAATGTAGGGCAGAATACGTAGTAAACAATGTCACAACCAACGGCAACATGGAAGAAGGAAACAGTTAACAGTCGTGGAAGCGCTCAGATACAACATGAAGGAGCCGAACGACATACACAATAGAAGACGATTCGAGAATCTGAAGAGAAATGAAACAGCCACGTGATAAGAAAGTATGAGCTTAAGACGATATGTGACATAAGTTAATGTTCGAGAGTAGTTAAGTCGCTCTAAAAACTGAACTTGATATCTACTCAACAGAACAATTTTTATTTTTTGTTAGAAAGCTTTTTTTCAAAGAACTATGTGTGAAGAAGACTTACACAACGTCGAAAATTTTCGCCTAACAATCCAACCTCAGCAGTTACCACTATCAGCGTGAAGTAACTTTGCAGTATCTGATGACTGTCGTGAATGAGAAGGTGATCTGAAAGGCAAGATCTTGCAAATATTCCAAGAAGAAAGGGCGACAACAGTAACACATAAAGATATCTCTATGATAACGTTAACCTTTTATTTGGTGCCTATTACAATTTTTTACTATAACCTCAGTTTAACTTGGTTCAATGCCGACTTGCGATCCCCAGATCAATCCCATTGACAGGTGATTGCTGATGGCTGGTGGAGAGGAAACTAGCTGAGAGAAACGTGAAACGAAGGACCCGTGTGATGTGGTGGTGTACGCGTGAGCCCCCGGAAAGGTTAATAGCGCATTCGTGATAGCGCACTGCAAACAGCTGTGGTCCGGAGTATTGTCAAAATCCTAGTATCACTATGGTTATGTCTCTATGATAACTGCTTTTTCTTTAAACAAAATGTAGAACTGACAGGGAAAGCACCCAATGTTGGACGCCGCGAAAGTCGACAATTGGAAATTGGGAAAAACTGTTAAAATACAAAACAAACCCTCCGTCTCAGATCACTACAAAAACGAACCTACGAAAATACTTGCTTACGCCGGGCGAACCAGGCAACGTTGAATTGAACATGAGCGCTAACAACACCAGAAAGGCACCGAACAAAAAAGGTGGACCAGGTATAAGCTGCCACGTGAACGCTGGGCGCTCAGCAACCTGAAACAGCGGGGATTGGAAAGAATCGAAGATATTTCAAAAAGCAAACAAAACTCATCAATCACTCGACTCACCCAAAGAGTATCATTCCTTGCTGGAGCCAAGATTTTTGTCTGGGACGAGAGAGGCCGTATTCGGACAATTGGAAATTGACCTGCGTGACCTCCAGACACTTCACCATCAACGTTTAAATCCACATCGAATAGGTAAAAAAGGAAACCAAACAGAGCGGGTCCGAATCCTAAACACTGATAACTTCAGAAAACTAGACTTACTAGGGTTACAATCACATGCCACACTACGAAATAGTAACTGTTGTATCATATTTATCGTCTGGAACAGATAGTTTTCTAAGATCGTGACACTAGTCATGCAGATTGCAAGGACTAGCAAATTAACGACCTTGTAACGAGAAACTAAGAAACATGAAAAATGTCTCCATTCCATGCGAAGAAAACGAAGACATGTTCAGTTCCGTTTTCTCAGGAAGATTTTATCCAGCAGAAACAAGGACTGTTATGTATGACTCTTAGTTGAAAGCGTTTCGAGTTATTAAACCATGCTCTAATAGCAACCATTTCCAAGACGTGACACCTAGCATTCATTCAGAACAGTGCGCCTTGTGGAAAATAATAACAACTTTCAATTTTATACCACCATATTTGAGATCGTTGTTAACTTTAGTAGTGCACTAGCAGTACCCCAGAATTTGTTGCATTCGACTCGTTTTTCTTCCATTCATCACCCACAAAGGTCTTCGAACATTTCGCGTGCTGTTTCGACGGCTGCTTGACGATTTCGTTTTCTTTATGAATGAGACGGAATGGTGGCCGAGGCGATTCTCCTTCCAATCTCGGAGATATCCGAGCAAAGGCATCCTCACGTGAACTGGAGGAGAGTGTCGGTGTGGAGCGAAACAGTAATAAAAAACGAGTTCACTTATTCTACAACGATAAATATCCGACTTCCTTGGATCCACGGAACGCGTCTTTCCTAATTTTTTTTTTCGTTGAGAATCTCTTTCGAATTCCAAAGGTGGCTGAATATATTTCGTAGAAAAGGACATTATGATGCATCCAACTGATCACTATTGACGCTAGCAGTTGATGTGATCGTATCGTAGATTTCACAGATTTCAATCTCGTTTTCAGCCTCTATTTTGGGAATTTTTACTCTCAACCTACGTGAAATTGGAGACTATTTTACAGGAACCCTTGTACAGTAAAGGCGATACAGCATGAACTCTTCTATGTCCTCTGTAAATGCTCTAGTGATCAGGAAATTATCGCTTGTTCGGATTCGGGTATTATATGTTAACGCTGGCGGTGATGTTGGCTTTTTCATAACTGCTGATAACTTTTCGATAGCTAGAACACTTAAGATAATGAGACCTTCAAAAACTTGTAGAGGACACTGATATACTGCTCTAAGTATATAACATTCAAAATACTTCTCTCATTTTAAAATTGTTTAGGAAGCAAAAGTTCAAACCGCCGAAAAAACCAAGTTTTCGAAACCTTCCTGGACATCACCAAGTAGTGCTGAATGAAGTTCTGCTTCAACCTAGTCGCTGCTGAGATCTCACCATTTAGGAAAAAGAAAGCGAAAAAATGACGCGCGAGTACCAAGAAGTCAAGATTTTGTTCTAGTAGAATAAGCAAACGTGTACTTTGGTGGAAAAGACTAGTAGATCCCTAATGGCTACACACTTTTTTGAATTACGAAACTCATTGTAAGCTGATAAGATTGTTTGAAGATTTATTTTCGGTCAGAGTCAAATCTGACTCATTTCGTCACGGATTTGCTGTAGATAGCAACTGCGCGGAGAACGATAATTTCGTTCCTAAAGACCATGTACTCATATGTTTTTCATGAGGAATTGTATAATGGGAAATAATCAGGAAAATCAAAAAATTGTAACTCAGAGTTATTCACCTTGACATAATCCTCGAATGCCGGCAACTACACCTTGAACAGTGCCCTGTTTGTCTTTATCCGATTGTATGCTAACAAAGGCACTAATTGACGGATAGGTAATACTACTCATCGCTGCTAATATACCAGCTGCCCACATCATCCAGTATCTGCAAGAGAAAATAAAAGCATAACTGATGGATTGAAAAATGAACAAGAAAATAGGGTTTTATGGGTCAAACGCGTAAGACTCACTGAGTTCCAAGCCCGTACCATGTAAGTTGAACTAGTTGAAAGATGAGACCTAACGTAATTACATGTTTCATGTTGAAATAAGCGATTAAAATCTGTAAAACTCCGGTCTGTGCTAAGACTGATAGTATGCCAACTAGAGCAATGAAGGCAGCGACTGCTTCTGGAGTAAATCCGATAACCTAAACTATGAACTCTGTTAATGTGCCCTTGAACTACTCACAGTTTTGTTGAAGACGCTGATGGTTTTATAAAGATGGTAGATTAAGCTTAATCAGCGAACTAACGGTTTCTGGTGAGCAGCAATAAGCAATTTCTTTTTAATATTAACGCACCAATTTTAAATAAACGAAGAAACACGAAAATTGACCAGATTCCGGTAAGTATGAGAGAAACACAATGGTTGCTAGTTGAAGGACCTGAAAGGATATTTTCAAAACATACAGGAAGAAAATAACCGATTCCTTACCAGCCTATCTTCCCAGACAAGACACAGGGTGGCAAATGGATCCGCACTTTCCCAACTAATCACATCGCTAGCTGTACGTTTCACTGATAGTGACTCCGGAACGTGAAACACAATAAAAAATACGTCGATCGCAGCAATGATGGTAGCCTAGAATGGCAGATTTCATATGCTCTTGTCCTTTGATCAAAAACGTTATAAAAACAATGAATTTTTTTCGCATTTAACAACACTGCTTCTCATTTAAACTTATGACGGTAACCACACAATCTAGAAAATTTCTTTGTTTATTGGCTAACGAAATATATACCATGAATTTCATTAGCGAAAATGAGAAGATAAGAGCGGAAGTGATATATCGCTTTCATCCCCACCATAACTGTGTTTCATCGTATAATATAATGGTGCCTAATTTTGCGTAGTGGCGCATGTGTCGATAGTGTATTTTCAGCTCTTTCTCGATGTGCTACATTTGATTCACGTAAGCCTAAAGTGTCTCCCTTCTCAGCGAATGTCCACGCCCTGTTCACTACACTTTTCGTTCCAAAAACTCCATTTTCTGTGTTCTTCACCGAACTTTCTCTGTATCCTATACCGTAGGCATCATCTATGTCCCTCAAAGTATTTTTCCATGCTTTTCAAATACATCCAACTCTTGTATGTGATTAATAACCTTTGATCATCAACATTGCTCCCTGCATTTATTAATGTTCTGTAACAGATTAAAACACATTTCAGTGTTTTTATATCCGCTGACCTCATATAATGATTATTTCAAAACTCCCACGACTGACTTTCTATTAACCTCGACATTGATCAAGTAATTCTTCGTATTTTTGTTGAGCAAACGCGAGGTGTTATTTTCATTCTTTATTCACGAATAAGCTGACGCTTCGACGGATTTCGCCTTCCTCAGAGCCTGGAAAGGTCATGGAGGCGTCTGGCCTGGTAGATTGCTATCAACTTGACCTTTCCAGGCTCTGACGAAGGCGAAATCCGCCGAAACGTCAGCTTATTCGTGAATAAGGAATAATAACACCTCGCGTTTGCTCAACAAAAATACGAAGAATTATTTCAAAAGTTTATTTTACACGATTCGATGTAACAAACGGAGCACTTTCATTCGATCTGTTTACTTGTATCCTTAACTCACGAGGATGTCCGGATTTCAGCGTCTGTGGTCGGCTGTCGCTTGAGAAACTTCGTTCGCTCTTGTAATGTCTTTGAGTGCTGATAAAATCGATTCTTCCTTGAATCCTGGAATAGCCGTGCTCCAGTTCAACACCACAACTTCCTTACAGGTCGCCAGATTGCCAAGCAAATCTGGTGCGAATTTCCTCACCCCAGCCGGAGGGATGGATAATGGAGAGAAGGGGTTTGCTGACCAAAGGAGCGATTTAACCAAGGCTTTGCGTGTATTTAGCGCCAGCACCACTATTGACCTATCTCACTCCGACCAATCAAAAGCATTACAGCAGTCGGAAATGAAGTAGCAATGAACTATTGATCAAAAACTAAAGTTTATAGGCTGGAATCACAAAGAAGAGCAATCCTTCGTATTTTATTGCTTGATCGGTCACATAGAGTGAAGCGATAGTATTTCTTGTGCTACCTGGCAACAATGAATCTAAAAATATATCGGATGTAAGACTAGTAGATATGCATAAGTAAGGAATATGTTGGTGGCCGAATAACTGAAAACTGGTGAAGAGATGGAAAGGTTCATTGGACGGTGTTCTGTACATATGTTCATTGCATTTTCTCACGATGTCACGCCTTGTTCTTCGGTTTCGTAGGATATTTACTTCTGTCTATATATCTACCTATACTAATAATCATCTATTCTTCCACGTGGCCATTCAGATATGCAATGTGAGTGGGTGGAGGATCCGCTGTGACAATGCATATGAAAGTGCAGATTCACGAGTTGAAGGTCGAAGTCCAATGAACATTCAAACTTCGTTTCATTCAAACGAACAGAGCATAGGTGTCTGCACCTTCATGAAGCCATGTGCTAAAAGATGTCAGTCAACTACCAAAGATAAGGAGACTTTGTTATCGGTGCTATAAACAATTATTTACCTACGGTTCCAAATCTACTAAAATATACACCAAACAATTGAGAAGTAAATGGACCAGCGCAACAAATATTTTCGTTCAAATCGCTCCAAAAATTATCACTGAAAGAGTTAACTGTAGATAACATAAAAGAGAAAAAGCTCCCGGCGTTGATCAATCTCTGTAGAGATCATATATTGTGGAACTGTAAGTAAATTGTGTGTAAGAAGCATACCTCAAGGAGTGCAAGGACAAGAACAGAGATTGTCGTAATGGTTGACTTTTTGTAATGTTCAGGATGCATGAAGATCTCCGTTTAATTAAAACATGGATAACCACACACTGTGTGCCCATTTCTATGAATACTAGTAAGAACGCCCACAGAAGCCTCATTAGTGATTCTTATCCTATCGCAGTGACAAGGTGCCCTATGTTGCAAACTCCACCGCGTGAGTCATAACATACGAGTACCTTCGAGGGACACAAACTCGGGAATAACATCGTCCGGCTAAAGAGGTTTTCCAGTACATTCCCAAGTGCAGAACAGAGCTTTTCCCAGTGGGCTCCCGTCGTAATAACTGTTAGTTAAATAGGCTATCAAAAATAAAAACTGCAGCAAAAACTCTACGCGATAAAAAGAAAATGAGTTATTTGACTTACGTCAAAGCTCTGAAGGGAATGAGTCATGTATAATTTCCCTCTTCGCCAAAATATTAACCATCATGAAGCCATTGAATTCGCCAGTAAAAAAGACGGGTAAAAACTTTCTGCTAAAATTTCTAACGGGAAGAGCTGGTGTGCAGAAAAAAGGAACACTAATAGGGTAGTCAAGCACAAATAAAGGTTGAGTGACAGAAAATATTGGCCGAACGTGAGAAGATAAAGGGTTTAATAAATAGAGGTGCTTGTGGGAAGCATAAGAAGCGGAAAAACTTTGTTGGAACGAGAGTACTGAACGAGGGAGAAACAGATGTATGCAATAAAAGCGGTGACGAAGAATGAGGAAACAGAAATAGAAAATATAAAGGACGGGATATGAAACCGAAATGGCTAATCTATAAAAAATCAAATGGCTGTCAATGAACAATGCGACAGACTTCAAACAATAAAAAAATGTTTACAACGTGATTATAAAGTGACTATTTTAAAGTTCTTACAATTTTTTATTACATATATTTTTGTAAGAAATGAAAATGGAGTAGTATTTTTCGTTATTCCGGTCCGTCCAACTCTCTTCTTGGCGTTTTTTTTTAAGTTCGCCAACAGTGTTCACCTACGTAACTTATTTCACCAGGAATTTGACAGCAGTGCATCATTCAAGTAGGCAATTTAAGCCCCTTCTCGAGCACAGTTTCTGTACGGTGAAAAGTGAGACCACTTTCCTTTGCTGCTTCTTGAACTTGAAGCAAAATTACCGTTTTCCAGAGATTTCACATATACATACGCATATACATACATATATATATATATATGTACATATAAATACACATGTATACCCAAGTAAGTATGACAGGAAATGTACTCAACATGTTTTTCCCATGTGATAGAATTAAGTCGACTCGGCAACAAATATTGAGTAATTCTAGCTTCTTCTCCTTAAAACGGATGCATATCAGATGCTACACAGTTCTAGGGAGGTCCACCAAGCATAGTTAAAAGGAGATACAAACTCCAACGCAATAAGTTGTGTCAACATTAATAATTGAGTTCTAAAATAAGCAATACTCATAACATTAAAAAGAAAAAAAAAGACGCACCAGTAAGACGACGGCTCCATCACCACTGTTATCCGATATCCATGCCCCAAGAGCTGGTGAGGTCACTAGAGAAGCAGCAAAAGTAGCCGACACGAGACCGTATGCGGCTGATCGATCCTAAACTGGATGAAGCCATCTAAATAGTGATTATACACATGTCACTGCATCACTGTAAAAGCTTATAACGCAGACAGAGCAATCCGTAAAAATATAAAGGAATGATTCATTTAAAAACCCTAAAAACGGAAAGTAAAGTGATAATAATGGCCGGTTATGTTGGAAGTGGACAAAACTCCAAAAATCTTGCATAAAATATCTTTGCAAACCTGTTTCTCGGTGATATCGGCAACATAAGCGAGGATTACGCTAAAGGTAACAGAGAACAGGCCACTAATGCTGAATAAGGCAAAGTACCACCTAAAAGGCAAATAAAATAAAAATGTAGCGACCTTGTTAGGACTGTTCAAAGAACTAAAGAAATCAGTTAGCTACACAGTGACTTCAGACCACTGCACTGCAGGCGCTCCATAACATCCAGTAAGACTCAATAATATAAAATTAATATGTTCACTGAATTTCTCAAAAATAAGAGAGTTCCAGATGCAAAAAACCAACATTTCATGGGCGTACAAGTGGTAGTAAAACTAATGAAAGATCCTGACCATACGAAAACATACCATGGACTAATTATCAAACAAGGAATGGGCATACAAGTGCAAAATACTGTAAGAATAAGGAATAGTTTCCTTCCATATACGTCAGAAAGCGCTCCAACAAGTGGTGCACTCAAAAATGATAGAATACCCTGAATAATCTCATTAAATAGCTTAAATAGCTCTAAAAATTTTCATCTTTAGCTGATCACCATCACTTACACTTTCAACTAAAATTTGTACAAACACGCAAAAATAACAGCTCACCTTTATTCCCAGTATAAGTCCATTCATCAAGAATTTATTTGACGGGAAAGTTTCAGCTAAGACCTGGAATGACGCCGAAAAGAGAATATCTGAGGAAAGACGTTTTCTTGATTCTTGAAAATTAAAAGAAAATAGAAGCAATGTGAACATTCCTACTTTAAAAATATACCCACGTTAATGACTGGTACAGTCAGTAATCCCCATGCGAAATACTCCAGGAAGATGATTAGAAGGGCATATGAAATGGACGCACCACCGACTTGACCACGACCGTGTTCGTCTCGACCCTTCACCTTTCCGCGATTGAATATCAGCGTCATGATAGACCTGCTCCTTCGTAGCATCGTTTGCTGTAAAGGACATCTTAAGAAATGAATCTAAACAAATCAAACACTCATTTCTGCATTATTTTCAGTAAAATCTACCAAACCACTAATTTCAACCAGTACGTAAGGTGCTAGAATAGAAAACTAAATCGGCAGAGTTAAACGGAATGAACGAACATTAGCGTTTCGTTCTTTGGATGTAACGAGAAGAATGAAGAGGAACTGTAAGAGAGCGACAGAGACAGACAGAAAGACATTCAGGAAAAAACGAGAAAATGAGACGTATGACGCAGATTGAAAACCTGTTCCTTGCGACTTATGTGGTCATAAAAGGATAACAATCGTTCTTAAGCAACAAACTGTAACAATTTTAATAAATTACATCATAAAATTTATCGTTATTATTTGTTAAGTACAAAATTATGCTCGAACGAATGCGGGTTTTCCTCTTAGCTGAATAAGTATCTCCGAATCGTTAATGAACAGTGGCAATGGAACTCGGAAAGTGAGTAAGCGTATGCCGTTGGTACAGATCGGTTCGCAGAAAAAGAGAAAAAAAAGCAGTACAACGGCACTGTGATGAAGAATCACGAATAGAACAAACCTCGCCCAGACAGTACAAGCCCAATCGCGGCATGTGAGAACAATTACCCAATATAATTCGGTACAAATTCGATATACCCTGGTAAGAATTAACAGCAAAAGTAGGAAGATATGCATACGAGTGTTTAGAAAAGAATGAGACAAATTCTGTTTTCGCTTCGATTTCACATTCGACTATTTTCCATAAGCCACCACTTAGTATTACACGTAGCCACCTTTAACATGTTCATGTTGTCTTTCGTTTTTATAAAAAAAGATTCCACAGAATTCCATAATGTACTTCTTATTTATGACAAAACTGCTATATTTTACAGAATTTTATTAAAAAGAACAGCTTCAGCAGACAACTTTAACAACTTTTCAACGAACTTCAACAGCTTCACTTACTCTGCCATTATTCATATAAATTCGTGATTCCCCAATTCGTGAATGAATCTTTCAACTAGGGTCGTATCCAGATCGGTGAAGCAAAGAAATAATTGATATACTACCCTACAGGGCATGATGCTATGCCATTGTGTACCAGCGCTTTTCAATGTGGGCAGTCGCACCGACCGAGCATAACGTTTCCACGTTAGAATTTTGTAAACCTTGAAGCAAAACTAAAACCTTCCAAAAATTATACACATATATATATACATATATATATACACGGATCTCCCTCACATGAGAGATCTCGAGCCGGTTAGTTGCGAGGCTAAGTGGCTCGTTCTCGGGTGGCGGATATGTGGTTAATCGCGGAAAAAAGCGACCATTGGTTCCCTGAGACGCAGGTGGATCCAGAGGATGGGCTCCATGTTTCTGCTGCGCTGATTTGGCACATACTTTCTGTACTTACTAGGCGTATTCATGCATGCGTGTGTGGGTGCGTTCTTGCTTATGCGGATTGTATTCTACGAGTCAATTCGGCCAAAAGCCTGCAATCAAGTGACTGGGAACTATATGGGAGGCGGTTAGGAGTCGCCTCCAACAAATAAGCTTCATGTCCACCCGCGAAAGCCTGGTAAGCTACCCGTGAGTATAACCAACCCCCACGTTCAGAGCCCAGCAAGCTATACGTGGATATCAAAAATGCTAAACACAGTAAAAAAAAAAACGGACCTCATTCCCCTGACCCCGAAAGAGCCTCCAATTTCGCAACGTTGGATAGAACGAGTACGGAGAGGCTGCTAAAATCTCAGGGCCAGTGGAAGCTACCTGGATCTCGAAGAACTATGGCGACGATCTGTACCTACAATGCACGTACACTTGCATCCGAGTCCTCGATAGAAGACTTGCTCATACAAGCAAAAAGGACAAGGTACGACGTCAACGGCATGGCCAAGACGAGAAGACGCCAGCCTTTCAACGCCGTCTATGACACCGAAGAAGAACTGTTCCTCGGAACATGCGACAATAGATGAGTCAGTGGCTTCTGCGTTCTCGTCAACACGAGTTTGTCCACGAACATCGATTCATTCGAACAACTTACAACCCGAATCAAACGTCTACGATTAGAAAGACATGGATCAATTCCAGCTTTGACAATCTTCGTCGTTTATCACCTGGTCCGGACAGGATAAGACTAGAACACCTGAACAACCTTCCGCCAGTGCTCGTAAACACACTGGCTCGGCTCTTCACACGTTACCTGTCTGAATGCAAGGTCCCTACTCAGTAGAAGACCAGCAAGACCGTGTTATTGTTCAAGAATGGTGACCTGCACTATATCGGCAACTATCGCCAATCTGCTTACTGTCTGTCGTCTACAAACTTTTCACTCGAGTCATCCTAAACAGGACTGACAGAACACTGGACGAAGGACAGCCATGCGAGCAAGCAAGGTTTCGAAAAGGATTTGGTTGGATGGACACATCCGCACGGTAACAAGGCTCATTGAATTATCGCGAGAGTACAAAAGACCGCTCTCTCTCACTTTCGTCGATGCACAGAAGGCCTTTGATTCAGTTGAGATAGAAGCAGTATTGGTAGCCCTTGATCAAAATTGTTTACCACCACCTTCCAGAACGTTGTGCGAACATTAGAATGGGATAATATGGGAGTGAAAATCGACGGTCGACAGTTACACCATATTCGCTTTGCTGATGAGATCGTCCTTATAACACCAAACATTAACCAAGCGGAACGTATGCTTGAGGATTTTGATAAAGCCTGTGGAAAGATTGCTCTTCGATTAAATCTCACAAAAACCATGTTCATGAAGAACGTATTGGTTTTGCATGCCCCATTCACGCACAACGGAACGAATGTCTCCGAAAGCTCCAGTTATATCTATCTAGGTTGGGAAATCAATATGATAAACGACATAGCACCAGAGCTGAGCACGAGGAAACGAGCGGCTTGGGAAGCTTTCAAGAGCATCGAGGATGTAGTGAAGAGAACAAAGAACGCCGGACTCCGTGCCCACCCTTTCGACTCATTGGTACTTCCTGCCCCAACGTATGCGTCGGAAACCTGGTTACTGCGCAAACAGGATGAAAGGTCACTCAGCTTTATCGAAGGCGCAGTCGAAAAGACGATGCCAGGAATATCCCGTGTCACACAAGTACGGGAAGGGATCCGAAGGTCCGACCTATGCTAAAGATCTGAAATCAAAGATGCCGTTCTGTACGCCAAACAGTCGAAGATAAGATGGGCCGGACACATAATGCGTATGAATGACAACCGATGGACAAGAGCCGTTACTGACTGGATTCCTGGGATGACAAACGTACAGCAGTAAGATCACCGATCCGATGGTGAGAATTCTTCACGAAGAGCGTTGAAGAAAGATATGGTGCTCGACGAGTCCCTAACCAGTGGGCTAGCAGAACCCACTGGGCTACTCTTGCACACGACAGGGAAAAACGGAAGATTTACTGGCGCCCACCCGAGTCACCCGACGATCAACGGAACTACATCTGATGTAGGCGATACATATACACATGCATATACATGTACATATATGTATGTGCAATATTTTGGCATTTTACGTGACCCTTCATCACATCTACTAGGCCGATCCCAGTACTTCTTGCATTTGATTCTGACCATCTGAAGATTGAGTAGCTCAAGCATTCTTTTAAGAGTACCATCAACTGCTCTATCTTGAAGTCATACATGTTTATTTTTCCTTCGTGTTGTGTAAGGAGTTCGAATATGGCTTGCATTGCGGAGTCATTCGACACGTTTGTATAAAGGGCGGTAACGTCGAAGGACTCCATCACGTACGCACTTCTGTGCTGCGCAGTATGTAGACGATCCAGAAACATCTGGGTATCCGTAAGATGGGCTGGAATGTGTTTCAGCAACTGGTTAAATATTAGGGTTAAAAATCATGTTATCCTGTCCGTTGGCCCGTCTACGCAGCTAACGATAGGTCTAACCTTAAATAGTGATGGATCGGTAGACGCAAGATCAACGCTGTATACTAACTTATTTTTTATAAGCAGGTACGAGACAGACATGTTGATAAGTCAATTTTTAGTTGAGAGATAACTGATGGTTTTAAACCAGCAGCCCATGCCATTTTGGCCCATTTGTAGTTCAATTTGCGGTACTTTAAATTCTTTCTCAGATGATGGGTGATAAAGTGAAGCATTTTCAAGACGCTTTTTCGTTATCTCAATATCTAGCTGATGGGGAATTACGACAAACTCTCCGCCCTTATCACTAACGAATGGCCTTATGTTTTTCATCCTTATCAGCTCTCATATCTCTCGCATATCACGTTTTTGCACTTCAGTGAGGTTTGAGCTGTACCTTTTCGCGCGATAGTGATTAAAGGCTTTGAGAGTTTCACTCGTAAACATGCGAAATTTAACATCAACTTCATTATTGGGCTCTCGTTGTCTAAAGAACGGCTGAGGAAACGGTGCTATTGGTAGGGCCCCCACTTGGTGTTGCTCGCACCTATCTTGCGCTTCATCTCTGGCTTTTTTGCGGAATCTATCCTGAAGTTCATGTAAACTACATGCGACCCTACCCAAGGTTATCTTAGAAATGGGTTCAGATGGCGAGACACTCGGTCCCAATTCTAATAACGAGCGCGCACCGTCAGGGAGATTCACGCCTGCTAACACGGTTAGCCTCGAATTTTCTTGCACATTACCTATCCTACTGTGACCTGTTCGATGTTCGTTAGCGATATTTCTGTGCGCTATTGAAACTGTGTTATGCGATTTACTTAAAAGGTCTTCGAATTTTCTCCGCAAAGTTACTTTAGCAATAAACCTAACAGACCTAGTTCGTAACCGCCCACATGACCGTCTATGTGCAACTCAAAATTGCATAATTTGCCCCAATGGTAGAGGCGATGATTGCGTGAGCTCGGGTATAGTTTATTTGATCTTTTGTAAGGCGTGCGGAGACGAATACATTGGCGAAATGGGCAGATCCCTCTGTGACCGCATAAAAGATCACCTAGCCAGCAAAAGTCTACCAAATACCCCACTAGGCACGCATAGGACCCAGAGACATAACGGGGAGGACTTTGAAGTATGTATCACGATCCTCGCACACGAATCAAGAACACAAGCGCGCAAAACTCGCGAAGCATTCTAGATTAATTCCAGAAATCCGAAAATGAACCGCAGGGAAGAATGCCCCATTATCACACGTGATATACGGCAGTATATAAGACTGTTATTCTGATGGGAGGAGCACATTATACTTCCATGTGATTTCTGTGCGGCTGGTCTTCACGCGACATAGTGGAAACCTCATAGAAAGCGGTGAGTGTGCAAAGCTGTGTTCAATGTGATTGTAATCTTGGTTTAGCGTTTTCTCTGTTTGGTTATGGAGGTGTTTGGCCGAATAGATTGCTGTCAACTTGACCTTGAGGAAGGGCTCTGAGGAAGACGAAATCCGCCGAAACGTCAGCTTATTCGTGAATAAAGAATAAAAGTAACACCTCGCGCTTGCTCAACAAGAATACGAAGAATTAAACTATGTTTCTTTTACAACGTTACTTTCTTAGCCGAAAGAAGTATGAAAATACCACAAAAAAACCAGAATTACCTATAATAGTTATGTTGGAATATATGTAGCAATTTTACTAGACTGCAATACCAGTGTACAGAAAAAAGGTAAAGAATAAAGCTCTCGGTGAATGAATGCGATGCGGCATGCAATCGACTTCATTAAGCATCGTTGGAAATGGCTGATTACACATCCGGCCTTTACATGACTCGTGGTGGCCTACCGATGTATTGAGCCAGTTCTGCTATCCTCCCAGATAAGTCTGGTACCAATCTATCGATCCCGGAGAAATGAAGGGTTTGGTGGGGTTAACGCTCGCGGATCGATCACGTGTGTATTGCAGGGCGCGTCTAACCACTACGCTACACGCGCCCAAGACGCAATATATTTGTGTAAGTTTCTGATAAGACCAGCACAATTGCAAAAAACTACCAATTCCGTGTATACGACATCGTGTACGAAATGTGTGTGATTTAACAGACGGAAATGCACTGACCTCGAGTTTAACGACAAGAAATCCTGTATTCGATGACAAGTGGTCAGAAGAGTGTACCGTGGCAGTGGGTGCTTTTTGAAAATCCGTCGTTTGGCCTGGTGAGAGCAGGGCCGTGGATATCATGCCAGCATTAAACCGTTCAAAAGTGACATTCCTTCGCTCAATGCCGAACGCTCGCCACCGCCAGCCAGCCGACGTTTCAGTCGGATCTCTCTGTCTCCCGTCGTTCCGCACGTTACGAGACTCGCGTTCTTCTCACCACTGTCGTCGCTCTCGGATCTCGCCTGCTCACCCACTCGTACACTTGACGATCACGACGGTGCGATCCGGGAAACCTGAAGATGTGGGCTTGCATAACTGATGTGGCACTCAGAAACAAATGCAATTTGGAACGCGGAATATAAACCAAATTCACGTACATCGGGATCACATGCGGCTTATCAAACACATTTGAACACAGTATCAGCTCAGTATCAGCCAAATAGTACTCATGCGTGTGGGTCACAGTGGCCGCCAAATGTCATGTATGACTCATTACGTTTCTTTTTTATTAATAATGATAGCCTTCCCACCGAAAGTGTTACTTAGCAACATGCATCGGCATGTGTTTGCAAAGTCAGAGACTGTTTCTGCGCAGAACGGCACAATGACATCCTCGCTTGCGGAAATGCCACAAATTACGAGTGTGCTTAGATGTTGCTAAGAAAGTGCTAAGCATCAGTATCAGGATAGTGAAAAAATAATGGCCGTTTTTGAACTACTTTGCAATGGTATAACACAGCGAAGAAACAACTCTACCACTCAATATAAGAGCTATTAGAATCTATAAAATTTTGCCAACAATTTAAAGTCTACTTGAGCAACATAAAATCCTGAATTTATAGATGCGATGGATTCTGCCGATTCATTGAGGTAGTTCAATAGATGAAGATTTTATTTGCTAGCAGTCGTTGAGATGCATAAAAGAACTTCTATTAGCGGTCCGTCAAACATGGTTAATGGAGGATGGGGGTCTGTCAAGCATAACTGATGAGACAGGGTTTCGTAACTCAGTTCATTCAGTTTTGTAGCGGTAATTATGCAGTGTGTTGTTGAACGGAGTCCCAAAAGGGGATTGGATGGATCTTCTCTGTTAGCTGTGCCTGGCCAATTATAAGCCGCAGGATTTGTAGAACACTGATTTCACCGCAGTACTTCTCTACTGTGCTTGTCTTGCCTAATTTGAGTTCTTGTTTGATTCCATCTGCAGAAAAAGAAGCGTCACCACAGCCATCTTTTGACGCAAATTCACCTTTAAAAAATGTTTAAGAGCCTCACCTTATTTCCAGTTCCTGTTGAAAGTCGTCCATTTTCAAACAGGATCCATTTCTCATCGTAGAAAAAGCGCATTACGGAATTCATGAGGGCACTCTTCCTGCCATCCGTTCAATTCACATGGTACTCATTTATTGGTGTTCTTCACATTTCCAGTAGCTTCAAATGCCTAACGGCGGCCAAATTGTGAATGCTGGGCTCTACAATCCGTAAAGCACTTTTTGGCAGGATAGCTTCGATTATCGCCTTCAAACGGTATTGGTTAATTGCTCAAGAGTGTACTCGACCTTCTCCATCAAGACTCATATCTGCATTTGAACAATCTGCGTACTGGGCAATCAGGAACTCCTTTCTGGCCTGTGATTCGATGAAATTTTGAAGTGTTATCGTTGTTTGTTACGAAGTTCGCACTCATGGAACAAATCGACGCTACTTTCACGAGAGCATCATTTCATTACAAGCCAAGTCAGTATCAATAAGAAATTGTTCAGCAAAAAATGGGTTTTAAAACCGTCTACATGAACAATCTGTCCAGCAAGTATGCATTGCAAAATTTACCTAGAAATTTCATAGTGAAAAAACCAACCAGTATCCTTACATTAAAGCAAAACGTGAGTTGTAAAGTGATTAATGACTTCAGGGCTGCATAAATACTCTTACTGATGACTAGTGTAGCTGACATCACAGCCCTGGAGCACTTTAGACGGTGAGTCACACATGATTCATGGCGCGCCAAAAATGAGGTATCGTCACTTACTGCTGCGAAGCAGAACTAGTTATCGGGCTGTATTTGTTAACCGAACGCATATGAAAACGGGATTTTCAAGATAAATTTGAAAGTTGGGGAGGAAAACCAACATAAGTGTAGACTTTTAAACGAATAACGACGAAGCATTCGATTTTTTCGACAGATAAAACCACTCTAACGTCTGTGGAACTGAACGACTCGAGCATCACAACTAGAAATGCGGACTTTGGAAAAGGATCTTTTAAGGAGGAAACATTTCAAACGCAGAGAATGGGTCACTGCTACTCTTTATTTAACCGAAACCGAAGGCCTCAAATGACTATCTGGTCGTCGGCTAACAAAAACACGACGGATGTTCCATTCATCATATTCCTCATTGAAGCCTAGATGCTTTGGAATTGTTGGCTAGGACAGAAAAGAGAACCTACTAATTTCAATTCGAAAGTCGGTTGTTTAGGATTAATGAGGGAGAGGTTTAGTTAACCAGTGATAACAATGGTTGTAGTGAAACTTTTACTGTAAGACTTATTTTAACTCGAACTTTTGGATTACACATTCCTTTACATACATCAAGTGGTCCATCTCTGACAGGACCAGCTAAGCGGTGGAAAAATTCGCCATCTTCATCTACAAGCCCGGCAAACACCAACCGATTTCCTTAGGCGATCTTACCCTGAAAGAAACTATGTATCAAAAGGGCAAACCTCCCTCTGGTCCCCAAGGGCCGGAAACTGCCTGTGCTGAAACCCTGACGGCGAATCAATATGGAGTTCAAGAAATTCCGAGAAACAAATTTGGTTTACAAGCAACACACCACGCCACTGGAAACACGATTCTTCGTCGGCATGAGCCATCGAAATAATAAAGGAGCAAATTTTACGCTACCATCCTGTAGAGTGGCAAGCGAAAAAATCAACATGAGTGCAATTAACGAAAGAGCATTTGCTGTTCTAAAAGAGAGGATCATGTCACGGAATTTCGGATACCAAGCTCTTGTCTTTCCTTAACATGCTCTCCTCAAAAAAAAACACTTGTCACTTCTGCAGTCAACAAGTTGGGCAAAATCTCTGTCATTGCTACTTGAGAAGAGTAAAAACCTTAGCTATATGTTCAGCTACTAACCAGACTCGAGGACCTCTTCCATTGAGGGATCCCGAAAGGCTTAGCCGTACTGTGGTGAGTGCGCATAACGAGGACAGAGGCGGATTCCAGGGATAGTCCTTCTGTCCCTCGTGCGCGGAACTGACTTTTCCTCCTGGGTGCACACAGTCCTCTTCAGGACTGCATGTGTGGATGTGCTTGCATGTCATCGCATCGTCTCCGCACCGATCCGGTGGAAATATGCAATCAAGGAAGTGGAAGCAACACGGAAATCGATCCATAGTCGCCTCCGACAAATACGCTCTACATTCATCATCGAAGAAACCGGAAAGCCACCCATGAATACACATGTCCTCAACCTCGGTTTAATGCTAGGATACTTGTTTTCAGATATACAGCAGTAATTTTACATACCAAAGATAATTAATGACATTAGAAACTAAATACGAAATAAATCAGTACGAAACAGAACCATAATGATGCTGAGATATTTGCAAAACTCCGGACCGCAAGTGTCTGCGATGGAGAACAGTAGCTGAGAGATAGGCGAAACGAAGGACCCACATGGTGTGATGGTGAACACGTTAGCCCCGGAAAGTGTGATAGCGCGTTCGTTCCGAACCTCAGACACCTGCGGTCCGTTGTTTTGCAAATATTTCAGAATCATTACGATTGCATTTCACATAAGACCCTATCATGAAAAATGGTAATAGGCGGGAAATAAAAGTTAACATTGTGGTTTCAGTACGAAACATCTGAAACTTTCAAGTGGCAGCACTAACACTCCACAGCTTTGCGGACGAGACTATGACGTGAAATGAATGCACAGGCACGAAATAACAATCCAGTGGGTGAATCGGTAGGGTTCACAAGCGACATCGTCCGCTGGCTTCACGCCGGCCCAACGACACTCCTAATTCCACTGTAGTGCGCGTCACTTGTTTCATGAACAGCTGTAGAATGAAATTATGGTTTGATTTCGGAACTGAAATTCTTGTAAAGCTGTATTGGTTCTGTGTGGACATACATGTGTGCCTGTGCATATTTGTATATATATGTATGTATATATATATATGAGTATAAATATAAGGGACCATGTAGGTAAGGTCTCTACAAGTAGTAATAACAATTCCGAGTAATGACTGTATGTACATATACACTTGTGTATGTTTATATATGTACATCTATACACATATACACATGTACATATACATATGTATATATGTATGGATATAGGTGCGTACATACGTACGTTTCTTCATAATATATGTGTGTACCTATATCTGCACATACATTCGTGTATGTATATATGTGTGTATACCTGCGTAGATACCCATATAAATGTACATATACATATATATATGTACGTATTCATATATATGCATACATATATATATATATGTACATACTCTTGTCCTCAGTGTGCTTCGTCGTTATAGGCGGGCGTTTAGTTGTTTTTGGAAATGCTGTTCTTTTCTAAATAGGGAGCAGGTCTGCTTTTCAGAATGGCCGATGCAGTGCTTGTGGAAAATCTACAAAAGCAGCTGGATCGACTGATGAATCAATTATCCGATATTGAGGAGGAGAAGTTCGTGGGTGTTTTATTGACATATGAAGTGACCGTTCTAACCCATTGGTAGTTTTAACTCCCTCTAAGTTTTTTTTTTAAATTGAATTTGGGTCATATCGGGTTATCACCATATTGTTTAGGTTGATATTTGTTCATTTCCCGACTTAATTGACTTTTTCCAGGCCCAACATGGATACTCAAGAGTATGAAGAACTTAAATCGGAGACAATGGAGGAGCTAAAAGTAATTTCTTCGTTCATTTTGGTACTTCATTTGTTACGGTATGCAATGGGACGATGGTTTGGACAGATTTTTATCATTCCAGTTATAAAAGAGGTTATTTTTTTCATTGCTTTACATGGAGCGTAATTCTTGTTAGTTGCTCGTAATTTATTCATCAAGGTACTTGTTTTCGATGGTTATCTTTCTACGAAATGTGAATAGAGGCAAATGATGGATGCAGGACATAAGGAAGCTGGGGAGAACACTGGTTCATAATAAGCGAAGATTCTTTCATTATAAACACAAAAATTTATTGATGGGTGGGTTAGCGATTACAAGGAGGATGAGGTTCTTACATTTCTGATCCACATCTTGATATTATAATGTTAAGGAAGGAACTGGTTTGAGCGTAAACTTTTAGCTATTTTGTGACAACTAAGGGGGCCTGAATATAGTGTGGGATTCTAAAGCGTGACCATTTATTCTGAGCAAATTTTTCTAAGTGTTAGGTGAACCGGCAGTGTGAATTGATGTTTCAGCCATGAAAAAGTACAACCTAACAATAAAACTCCTTCAAGATGTAGTGTGGAGGTTACGTAGTCCACTGAAAAGCAAAGCATTCATATTGGAGTTGGCAGCGATGGAGAGGAGGATAAAGCGAAGCCGGAGTTTTTAGTGATACAGGCTAACAGGAAAGCGCTGGTTCGACTCCATTCCCTCCTCCTTCCTCCTCCTTCCTCCCTCTTGCCCCTATCCAGCACTCTCCACCATCCATGTGGAAAGCATTAGCACGCCTGTCCTCAAGATTTGAAGGCGAACGACTCGATCAGCTTTCTACGACATTCATAGGAAGACTAAATCCTCAAATAGCAGCGGAAACGATATTCGAAATGTTCGAAGACCTGTTCGAGATATCTTTCGGTTGGAAGGGAAATCGAAAGACTGTAGGATATGAATATAGTTGAGAAAGGTAGTCACGGTAGATTCTTCAACGGAGGAAATTTGAGCTTAATCTCGGCGACGCTGTGATCATCTGTTACTTATCACCTAGAAACATGTTTTGGTACCTTTAACTCTTTCATGATCCTGTCGTGGCCAAGAATTTTCTTAAACAACTTTACTTCTACAGTTTAAACTCCCTCACAACCCAGCTAATGTGAAGGTTTCGGGAATTTTTTGGTTAGAAGACAATAATAACTTTATAGTGTTACAACAACGAAGTCGTTTAGAAAATTATGACTAATACAAGAAAGTATGGATTAGTAAATCCAAAGGTAGTCGTTCAAATTGGAGTGCAGTTTAAGGTTGGGTTCTTTGGAGGTCATTATTCGAATTTCCAGGAAAATGGATATTAGATTTTTCACTATCAGATGAATTCATACACTGTTGAATGGATAGCAGATGCAATTTCGAGTGACGAGTTCCTCAACGGAACGTATGACTTCTTAGTCACCATTCACTGCTATCCTCCCAGCGGTTTATCGCCTCATCGTGGATGGGAGATGTTCCTGGGTGTCGTGCTGCGAATGTACAGCGGAGGGATTCATCTCCTCGGCAGGGTCTCCCAAACTGAGAAGGAGTCCTGCGTTTTCATCAGGAAACTAAGTTAAGTGTAAACCAATACCGTAACCCACCACCGTCCTGGTATCAAAGTAGTTGCTTGGTTGGAAATCTCCTGATGCACAAGCGTAGCGAGTGCCTGTGTCGGTGATGACCTAGGGCAGACTTTGGCCTGGTTGACTTCGGGACTCGAGGGAACCACAATAGCTAAACCAGCAAGACTCCGAAAAGTGGGAATTATGTTGGGTCCCGCACAACTGGTGATGACGGACCATCCAACTATCCAAGTATCCATTCACGGTCATCAGAAGAACTGAAATGTCCATTAGTCGTTGTTTGGTCAGCTTGAACGTCGTAACTGGGAGTCCTTTCTGTGGTTTTACATCCAAGTACGAATTCGTTGGTCGAATTTGCTTTGACGCGGAAACATCACCCGTTATTGAAAACAAGGCTTAGAGTTTCAAGAAGGAAGTCGAAATTATTTACCGGATCACCTAAGTATTAGGTTACTTGATATCCAGATGAAAACTGAGTCTGTACATATGCTGCCATTTAGTATGGAAAGTGAGTATGCTTCAGAAAGTTTATTTAAGGACCTCAGTAGATCTTTGGAAAAGATGACCGGTGGGAATATCACTTCGACAGACAATCTGACAGCTACCCGTATGGTAAGAATGGATAAGATGGCGCTATATTTCTTGTATCAATCTCTTACTTTACGTGTGTCTTTCGTTATGCTGTGTTCTTGCTGGTCATATTTCTTCGTAGATGTGTTAAACATTGTTTAGTTACCTATCACTAGGTCTGTTTTCGCCTGATTTTACTAATGTGTTAGTGCAGATATCTAGAACGTGAATGCAGTGCAAAATTAAAGATGGGTTTTCCACTTCCACTAGGGGCGGCGTGTGGCGCAGTGGTCGGAGGCGCCCTGCAATGCACACGGGATCGATCCTCGCGCCCCAGACTCACCAGGCCCTCCATCTCTCCGGAGTTGGAAGATTGCTACCAAACTTATTTTGAGAGGTTAGTAGCATTGGCTCGACACATCGGTAGAGTACCGCGAGTCACTGTAAAGGTCAAAATGCATTCAGTCACCTCCAACGATGCTTAGTGAAGTCGAATGCGTGACGCATCTATGAGGGATTGATCAACACCGAGAGCTTTATCCTTTATCCTTATCCACTTCCACTGACATTTAATTCTATCTTGCTATCGCTTTATCATTTCTTACAGGCCGTAAGAGCTGCTATCAGTCAAGCGTTACGAACCCCTGCAATATTGGGCTTATTCGCGAGAAAACAACCAATTGCATTGAGGCAGAGGCTGATATTGGTATATGGTTCCAATAATTTTTTGTTCTCCTCTAATTCGAAGTTTATAGGAAATATCTGTTTGTCTTCTAGTCTGGTGAAGGCTTCTGTCAAGCAGTATTATTTGAGTATGGTGAGAATCCAAGTAATCGTATTGGTTTAGTTAGACCACGATTTACGTATGCGCAAAGTGTCTGAAAACAAGTATGATGCGCAGAAGGTGGAAATACTAACAGCTTTGGTTAACTTGAAAGAGGAATTATTGGAAGATGAAAGGACGTTTCTGCGCCAAAAACAACTGAGAAGTTTACCACGGTTTGATCTGGAAGAAACTTCGGGGAATATCACTTGCCAGCGTAGTCTTCATTAAGTTTGTTACTTCACCTGCTCATATGTCACTTCCGAGATGAATGATGATGAAAGGTTTTGCATGATCTGAATAACTACCTGTTTTGTAATTTCTCACCCATTTTTGTCTTAGTCGGGCATGCTTGTAATTGTCCTTGGTAGTACTACAGAGGTTGATTCATGACTGAAAACGTGTGAAAAACCTATTTTTTATAAACAAGGGGAATGGTGAGGTATTTCAGAATTCCATTATGTCGTAACTTCTATTTCATCACGGATTTGACGTGCTTGAGCTATTTTTAAGTCGCAATGGTCCTGTCGTTGGATAATTGCTTGTCAAGTTCTTTCAAACAAACCTTTGCCATTTATAATAATTCTAGTGTATTCTTCCTTAGTTGAGATTTGTCTAAGAGATCTAAAAGGGTTATATTTCTTCTCGTTGTAGTTTTTACACAGTAAGCCATTACTACTCGTTAGTAAATGAAGGATAGTAGCTAGTATTCTGCTCCAGTTAAGACTGTTTCAATGATCTTCGTGGATTCTTCAGCATGTAATTTTTCTGGTGGTTCTGTTAAGGGCTATGTTTTCAGTTCCTCAACATGATGGACTAATTTGAATTTCACGAATTTTCATTGTACTTGTGTTGCATCAAAATGAACCTGTTTTTATATATACTATCTCTCTGTTTATCGGTTGCTATATGAAGCTCCTTTCTGATGTCTATACCTTGTAGGCGCTCCTGGCATGACAGAGTACGCCTGTCGCGTTTTTCCTTGTGGAACAGCGTTCTTTTCCAGTTTTTCTATTTATTGCCCAACCATAGGCCATGGGCATATGCTTCGCTAAGGAAAGTCATTATGCCGAGCAGTTTCACATTTCTATCCAGAAACTCACCATGCCTTCCAATGGTTTACGGCCTTATCTTGGATGGTTGGTATTCCTGGGTGTCGGGCTCCGATGAACAGCGGGAGGATTCATCGCCCCAGCAGAATCTAAGCTGAGAAGGAGTCTGGCGTTCCTATCAGGAAGCCCAGCTAAGAGTAAACTAATACCAGGATCTACCACCGTCCTGGTATCAAAGTCGCATGGTGGCAAATTTCCCTATGCTCCACAACGGCGGCGATTGCCCGTGGTGGTGAAGACCTAGCAAACTTTGGCTAGGTTGACCTCAGGACTCCGGGGAAACAATGACTAAACCAGCAAAACTCCAAAGAAATGGAAATTTTATTGGGGCTCGCACAAACAGTGAGGACGGGCCATTAAGGTATCCAAGTAACTCACCATCAATAGAAGCAACGCGAGAAATCACTACTGTTCTGGAAAAACCCTAGTCACTAAGTGGAAATCTCCCACCAGCAAGAAGCGCCGAGAACTCCGCGCACTCGTCACAAGGAGCTTCTTGGCACTATATCTCGGGAGCAGTGAGAAACCACTGCGAAACAGCATCGTACCACATAAGTGGGAAATTTGCTAGGGCAAGACGTCTCGTCGTGAAGACCGATAATTGAAGTATCGGCTGTCATGTAATTTATGTCCAATAAAAAAAAAACTATGGCGCTGAAAGCAAATGCGCACAAACTGTAAGCACTTAGTAATTCCCATGACCGACTTTCTGTTAACCTCGGCATTAATTGATAATTCAATGTTTTTCATCAATAAGCAGACACGAGGTTGTTAATATAGAATTTATTAGAACACAATTGCTGACGTTTCGGCGGTTTCGCCTTCTTCAGAGCCTGGAAAGGTCAAATTGAGATGCGATCTACTCAGCCAAACACTTTCATAACCCTAGCCCTGATAAATATCAAGTTTTATCTGCTAGGGTTATGAAAGTGTTTGGCTGAGTAGATCGCATCTCAATTTGACCTTTCCAGGCTCTGAAGAAGGCGAAACCGCCGAAACGTCAGCAATTGTGTTCTAATAAATTCTATATTAACAACCTCGTGTCTGCTTATTGATGAAAAACATTGTAAGCACTTAATTTGAAAAATATTCATCGTAAGCGAAATTGTTGGATTGGTCCAGGGTATATGGTAGTGAGTATGAAGCAGAGTGAGACAAAGTGTCTGGTTCATGTACATGATCTACCCAAACCGTGGTTGGCGTACTTCCACCTAGTCAAGAAGAGGATCTTCTACCATAATAGAAAGACCGGCGAATCGTTATGGGAGCCACCTGCAGAATTCCATTCGATGTATTGTGCAAGTATGTATAGTTTCTTTTTCGAAAATAAGTTTAACAGATCTATTTTTTTTGGATGATTAAGCTGTCGCGAGACTATTACGGAACCTTCATTCGGCGCCCACAGCCGGTCGTTCTGGGCATGTGGCACTTCGTCGCCGCATTGGGTGAAAGCTTGTTTGCTGTTCGAGCGAAGTGACCTCACTGCCCTTTTACACCGAATACTGGTTGAATGTTGACTATTGATTCTCCGATGATAGTGGTTTGTCTTTTTCCGGACAATCCATCCTGCAGCAGTGTGTACTCTTCTCACTTATAAACTAACACGTGGTTTGTAACAAACTTTATTCAGCCAACGTTTGAATGCCCTCGTCTTCTAAGCGGCGGTGATCCGAATCGATTGCCCATAGTCATTCTTGCTTGAGATATGAGCCTTCTAGTCGCATTGTCAAAATATCGTGGTCAAAAAACATCCTACAGCAGTCGATAAAGGAAACAGCTTCTAAAACATTGTTACGCTCTGTGCTAACTAGAACGGTAATTACTGCTGCAGGTGGGTCGATCGGAGAAAAAATGATTATCGGCGGGCAGTCAGTCAATGAACAACCGTCCTGTGTGAAAGGACGCTGCCGAATGTTAACTCGATCTAGCGTTGCTCCACTCCAGAATCTTCAACTTGGTGCGACGGTGGAGACACACATCGAGAGAACGAGCGGTAGTGGACGGTTGACTCGGATCAACAGGACTCCGAAGAATGCGAAGGCACCGAAGTGTTAGCCGAATAGAGGTTTCATACAAACTCGCATTAGCTCAGTTATCTAAGAAAATGCCGATTAGTCATTCCGAGGTTAAAAGAAAGTCGGTTTTCAGAAGTATTTAGCACATCTAGTCATCAATTTTTAAGGTGTCGGTGATTTGAATGAGAAGTTCAAGACAATGTGCTCTGCTGACTGTAGTGACTTGAATGAGTAAGTGTTTTTTCATATTTACTTCATAGCTTTGAAATCTCGTTTCATCCAAATTTTATAGGCCATTTCAGCCAAACATTGCTGGTTGTGTGGTGGTTTCAATTTACGTATAGATTTGAAGAAAACGAAGATGCATGTATTTAAAAAACCTCGGGAAGAAATTAAACTATTGGGACTAGGAGACATCTGAATTACTCTACATGTCCTCTTTTTTCGTAGACGTGCTTTTCCCGGTTTACAAGTTCCTGTTGGGAGAGTCCTGGAGCAGACTTTGAGCTGGTTAGCCTCGGGACTCCAGCGACCCTCAATGGCTAGACTAGGAAAACTCGGAAAAAGTGGAAATTTTGTTGGGGACCGCACAACTAGTGAGGACGGGCCATCCAAGTATCCGAGTGAGTATTGGGACAGTTTTATCCACAACGTGAAATAATCATCTGTCGTGTGTCAGCGTGGTTGATTCTAATAAAAATAGTCGATTCCAAAGGCGACTTCATTTGACCAATTGGTATATAAAAGCTATGCACTTCTTGGTGATGGTAGAAACCGGAGCGCGTGTAACGCAGTGGTCGGTGACGCCGTGCAATACACTTGGGACCGATCCTTGCGCCAGGGCTCACCAAGCCCTCCATCCCTCCAACGTCGGCAAATTACTACCAGACTTGTATGGGAGGATAGAATCATTGGCTCGATACATCTTTAAACCACCGCTAGTCATTGTGAAAGTCAGATATGCATCCAGTCACCTGAAACGATGCTGAATGAACTCCAATGCATGGCGCATCTCTCAGGGATTGATTAACGCCGAGAGCTTTGTCCTTTCTATGGTAGAAACTAACACTTGTTTTTAAAATGGGCTGGCTGACTGACTACTTCAAGAGCACGGTTTACAGGAATTTATAAAAAAAAGAATTAGGAAAGTAGGAATAATTACAGAATAAGGAATACAGGGGAGGAGGTTTTTCCGGAACTGTAGCAATGTCTGGCCACACCGTCAGTGTATTAAGAAAAGAAATTGAGACAATACATGCATGAGTTGAAACTGTAACATATTTATCACCTTAGTTTATGGAGCGCGTAAGTAAAGTGAAGGACTATCGTGTAACTGCTCTTTTTTAGAAAGAAATCCATTCCTTGGGCTACCCAGTTTTGTAATTTAGCACCGATCTAATGGACTGTTCGGAATGGGATCAAGCGGCAGGAAGTGTCACACCTGCTCCTGTAACGTTATGTTCGCCTCGGACTTCAACACTGGATGAATCTGAGGAAATGGACGTTTATTTTACTGAAGATTTTCGTCATATACGAAGGACTTCCTACGACCAAGACGTCATTGGTCCGGTACGTCACATAGCAAGACAATGGTAGCTGAAAGATAGAAGTTCTATTTATAGATCTTCCTGTGTATTTTGAGTGCTTAGTATCATTTCAACATGAAACATGACCTGATGATAGTGCTATTAAATGGCATATATACATTCTTATAACTGCAGTGATGCTGTTATATTTGCAAAACTCTGAAATGTAGATGTCTGCGGTGGGAATCGAACACGCTATTACGTTTTCGTGGGACTAATGCGTTCAGCACAACACCATTCGCGTACTTCGTTCCGCGTTTTTCTGATAATGTTGTAATTGCCATTTTTCGTTTTTATTTTAAGCGATCCGTCTTTCACATTTACTGTACGGATCCCAGAATTTCTGAATTCGATTCATTTCCTGACAACCATCCTAAATCGTACAATTTCACGACCCGGGATGAAATTCCTGGTGGTCCAGTGAACGGTTGAACCAACATCATGCTCGTGATGGTTGGCATCACTACCACTGCGCTACCCGCCCCCTAACAGCCACTTTATTGGTGGATATTAGTAAATTCTAAACTCAGTGCGTGTCTTCCAGTTCTGAAGCGATCCATATTGAAACGGCTGTCAAATTTCAGGATCTGAGAAGCGAGCAATCGTTCCCCAAGAATGAGACAACTCGAGAATGCATTGTATTTGACACGTGTGCATTGATTGCGGATCCGAACATACTTCATGACTGTATCGGAAGTAAGTTTATATTTGCAAAGTATAGCTGAGCATTGCTATTACATCTAGTCCTTTTTTCACATCGTCACTTGCTGTACCGGCGCACCGTGAAGGACGCTTGTAGCGCAGTGGACCGAAGCGCCCTCCAACACACTGGGGTCGATCCCCGCGCCCTAGGCCCATTAAGCCTTCCATCCCTCCTGGGTCGACAAATTAGTACCAGACTTGTCTGGGAGTATAGTAGCACTGACTCTATACATCGGTAGGCCATGGCGAGTCATTATATAGGCCAGATATGCATTCAGCAATCTCCAAACGATGTTTGATGAAGTCAAATGCATGTCGCATCCATAGAGGATTGATCAATGTCGAGAGCTTTTTATCGGCCCACCGTAATGTTATTTGGATACCAATTTTTTTGAATGATTTGTGCCGTTTTCGTAACTAGATTGGGTTCCATTGCGCCAATCGTCAAGCTGCAAAGAAATGATTACTTCTAGATTACCATTCTATCTTTTTGTTCAAGGAACTTAGGTTTGATGAAGAACAAAACCTCTTAGAACGTGTGCTCGTTGTTATTCCCTACCGAGTGCTTTATGAGTTGGATAGGTTGAAGAAGACTTCATCTATATCGTCATCGCCAATACAATTACCACAGGTATTGTTAGTAAATACGTGTGATCCAGTGTACATCTCCTTAACATTGAGTTCCAGAAGGCAAGTCGTGTAGTAAAAATGCTTTGCAATCTCAGAGGATCATCACTGATTTATTGGGAGAGCTCAGCTGAGGTATTTAATATTTCCTGTTCGGTATTCTCAATAGAATTCATCGTATGAAAAGTGAATGAATACTGCATAGGAAAGAGGGATCCCATACGTTGTTTTGCAGCAACAATGGGCACGTAGAATGAGGGGTTACAGTGGGCACTGCGCATTGATTCAATGCACCTACTTTCCGCCTACTTCTTTCGTCGAATAGTTTTTCTTTGAATAATACACTTCACATTCGATTGATAGCTTTCCTATCATATATAATGTGCGTGGCTTAGTTGCCGAGAAATTGTCCTACATTTTATAATTTACAAAAGGAAATTCTCCGGCAAAGTTTCTTTAAAGAATTAAGCAGATTACTACTGACGAAATGAGCACTAACGCATTTCTACTATAGTGATCTTTCGGTGTTGCAGAAATTTGAATAGTAATCGTGAATCATTTCCACGATCGCCTTTCTGTAAGCTGTCACTGGTCCATCTTGGTGTTGGAGTGCAATCATCTTGTTTTTGTAATTGGTGAATTTTCGGTGGGGTTTGCGAATGTTTTTCCCAGGCTCCGCAGCATTGGCCATCTCCATGGATAGCTTTGGAAATTTGAATTTTATTTCTTTCATCGTGAATTTCAACTTCTTGGAAGCTTCAACTACAAAACCTTTAGAGACAAAAGGGTATTTCGTAAAAACTGCATACTTTACAGCAATAGAGCAAAGCTTACTTTGTAAGATTGCCAGGTTTTTAGGCTCTTAAGTGATCTAGTTTTTAAAAATTATTGGCACTTGTTGAAAAATCATCTTTCACGCCAACTGCATCTCTAAACCATAATGGACCTACTAATGGTTTTAGCTTATCACCTATAGTTTTTCGATAACTAAAGTATTTGAACAAGTTAGAACGTCATGCATTCGGTTTCGTTAAGGATGATAGAGGTTGTTGAATACATATATGGCCTACGATCGCCTTTCTGGAAGCTGCCACTGGAAAATGGCTTGCGACTCGCGATTTCGAACAAGCGGTCGATCCAGTGTGCACTGAGGATCACGTTTTACCACAGCGCTACAGACGCTCTCAGATTGTCCCATATGTGTTGTTATCTCCGCGTCTTAGATGCAATTTACTTTATTTACATAGGTTGTATGCTTTTAATGACCATTACTGAAATAGTACTTGAATACTTGGACGGCCCGTCCTCACTAGCTGTGCAGCTCCCAGCGTATTCTCCATTTTTCGGTGTTCTGCTGGTTTAGCGATTGTGTTTCTCCGGAGTCCCTAGGTCAGTCTGACCAAAGTTTGCCCCAGGTCGTCACCATTACAGGCAGCCGCCGCCCTTGTGGATTAGGGGTAGATTTGCCACCATGTAACTGATTAGATACCAGAACGATGGTGGATCGTGGTATTCATTTACTCTTAGCTGGTCTTCCTGATAAAAACGTCGGACTCTCATCCCCTTCTAGAGGTATGCATCCTTGAATCTCAACATAAAATCTAAATTTCTAATACCTTACCAGTCTCTTTCAAAACACGACTAGTTGACTTTGTTCTGCTGATTTACCGATTGTCTTCTTTTTGAGCTTCTTGATAAATGCTTTGGGAGGCCTTTTCTACTCTCCCTGGACTCGTCGGCATAGTGGTTTCTGTTCTGAATTTAACTTTCAGTCGAGGAGGTATTCGTGATCATATGCGTTTTCCTCCTTCTAACAAATCGTCTGTGAACTTCACCACTGTAACAGGGCATGAAGAGCACCGACTCGATGGTCAGGACTTTTCACGAAGATGAGAAATTTGGACCTCAGCTAGTCAGTCGTAGAGCTAACGGAAGCCGGTGGGCTACTCTTACAACAGGAATAAGTGAAAATTTAACTAGAGCTCCCCTCGACTCACTCGACGATCAACATGGGAACTTGTGATCCAGGTAATACAAGGTTAGCCAAATCTCCGAAAAACAGCTAGCTCTGTAAGGATCTGCCGGTATACGCCATACTTCTATATTTGTCAGCTTTGTTGCAAATTTTGAACCACTCTAAGCGGTCACTCTTATGAGGAATAATGTACTACCGGAATAGGACTCTTCTTTCGTACGGCATGACGGCTCGTTGATATACAATTTTTTGTCAAACTTGTGCAATTCGTTCTGATAAGTTCGACAAGTGGACTAATCTTATCCGACTTTTCGCCTTCATCACGGGTTCCATTTTCTGCAGAATAGTAAATCAATAGCTTTTTCAAATTTAGCCCTTGCGACAATACTCAGTTCAGTTGAACTCTTTTCACATTGCCGAACTTACCTGTTGTTGGTTATACTTACTGTACCTTCTTTGATGCGTATCTGTTGGTCTTGTACACCACCATTGCTCAAATACCAACCTTAAATTGTTCATAAAAATATACAGGGTGTGTGCATACACAGTTTTTCATTTACACTACGCTGACTTTCACTGAAGGTCCAGGTGTCGCAGGACATCAACAGGTGTGAGTACTCACTCCTGATATCATCTTCTTCCTCATCCTTCTGTTTAGTTTCTCTAGACTATTCGACGGAAAGCATAAGAGGTTTCACGTTGTCCTCATTATCTTCATATTTTTATTCACTAACTAAGAATAGTCAATGAAAAATAAAGCTCAGTCGGCCCTTGGCAAAGACGGCTGAAGCCTGTAAAATCCAATCGTTGACCAATAAATGATTGTCCCTTACATTTTAATCGTATTTTGGTTAGGTAGACGATAGACGACTTCTTTTCCTCGCAAAGAACAAATGAAAACTTTCCAGAACGTACGAAAAAAAATACATGTAGATACAAGGACGTGAGGGTAAGTTCAAGATAGAAAAGAAGGTAGGAAGGATTAAAAAAAAGATTTTACAAAGCTGAAGTAAAGAGCGTAAAACACAAAAAAGTGGTGAGTAGCCATTTTCATAGGCCACTATGAATGTAAGAAGACTATCGTACATCGTTTGTGCTTGAATATTTCAGTCCTACGAGGAAGTTGATGGATTCGTGGCGAGTTCCTCGGAAGATATAAATGATGACTATGTGTTAAAGTGCGCTTACCGTATAAAATCGATGCGTAAGTATAGAAAATCAGTGTTGTCATTAAACATTACAGCTATCCGTACCCATAACACAAAATTGGTAGAGAAGGTTCTCGAGTCTTTAGAAATGAGGCATTTATAGCTTATACATTGTACTACACATAAGTGATTATGGTCGTAAGAGACCTAAAGAACTAGGCCCACTTAGGACAACTAGACAAGCAGTAGTATTAGATTTCATGAATTGAGTTCGTAGTCTTAATATAATCTCACCGGCTTCTATGTTTTAGTAGTTTAAATGTTTAAATAATATTCGGGCTAGTTTTGAAGACGGATTTAGGTTTACTCCCCGGAACTACTGCTGGGTAGGGTTATTCGTCACAACTGAAAGAAAGGGAATTAATGAAATTATATGGTTAGGCGATTTATGTGTACTTCATATTTGTAAAGTAGGAAGGTATGGAGACTATGCTTCATAATTAACAAGTTCACAGTCGTGTAGATGTTATAGTGGATTCACGAGGTGAGAATTGGGATACGGTATTTGTCACCAACGACCAACTACTGTCACTCAAAGCGCATGCGAGCGGCATTCCATGCATAAATGTAAAAGTGAGTACAATCTTTCCAACGCTGATTCATTGTTTGATTTTTATGCTCATCGATAGGTCTTGAGTATATACGATTGTTTTTAAATAGCTGTTTCTTTGGTTCAGGAAGCAAAAGAAATTTTGAAGAACAAAGACTGCTCACCTTCTACTACGTTATGTCAGGCTAACTTTGCCGTGCCTACTCGAAACACTAAGTGGGTGATGCCATAGAAATACCACTTTGTTTATGTCTTCTAGGCTTCAAAATTCCCCTCCGATCGATTCACCTCCCACTGGCACATCGATTGTTAGAATCATGTGAATGGTTTTAAATCTTAGTACATATCAGCAATACTCAGCGTTTTCCTGCATCATTGACTATAATTCTTTAACACATACAGTGAGTTATATCAAATCACATCTTACTGAGACTGACTCATGTTTGGGGTCTTTTTGTTACAGTTTTTATATTCAATCGATAGCTTACCCAACATTGTCGGCCGGCCATCGGAAGAGAATACTGCCAGACCTATTACAGACCTTTACAGACCAGACCTTTACAAAAAAACGTCCTGAACCGCCTTTATTCGACAAATTACAGAGAGTATCATTGCTCATGAGGGTATGAAATAGATGTTGGCACAACTGTCACAGGTGAGGAGGTGGTTACTTGATGTTCCTGCCTAGCGGTAGGAAGAACCATTTTGATCTGCATGAGTCTGACTCACAGCAAGTGTAGCCACACAAAATTACATCTTCTGGAAAAATTTCTTTCCAGCTTCTATCCATACATATATTTAAAAAAAGACTAGTTCCATAAAATTACTAGGAAAGGCGCGCAATCGGTACACATGACGTTTGTTTTAAGCAGAAATTAAAGCAACAATAAATAAATGGAACCACTATGGTGCTGAGATATTTGAAAAAACTAGGACTAGCTGAGAGAAAAGCAAAGCAAAGGCCTCAGTGGTGCGGTGCGTAACACGTGACCCACCGGAAACGGTAATAGTGGGTTCGATCTCCACCGCAGACACTTGCGGTCCTGAGTTTTGCAAGTATCTCAGCATCATGATGGTTGTATGCCACATCTTACCTTGCCGTGAAAGATTAATAGTAAGCAGCAGATAAAAAGTTAGCGTGAAGCAACAATATTTAGAGTTTTGGCATCAACTTTGAGGATGAAGCCGCATATTGCTGTGGAAAAAAAATCTAGTCGACCCACCGATAGGCCTCCAATCACAAAACGACATGAAGAGAAATGGATGATTTTGGATAATTTGGCTAAAAGGAACCCTCTTGCGACGTTCTCGCAGATTTGGAAATTGCTCGTGAATGCATTGAGGAAGAGGTCTGTGATTTCATATTTCTGTCATTAGAAGCTGAACGTTGAGAAGTAAGTAATTTCTATGCACAAAGTTGTTACTTAGGAGCCAAACTTGTCCTGATAAAAGCAAAACTGATGCCAACCGCTTGCGAGAATGTGCTTATATGTAAGTAATCAACTCTTCAGGGTCAGCAATTCTATTTTCAGTTTCTGTCGTGCATCTCACACCACGTAAATCCTGTTTTCAGTTTCTGTCGTAACCAAACTGAAGAGAATCTCTCCCTTCTTGCTCGTATGACGTGTTGGCTCTATTCGTACTACTTCCCTCAACGAACTGAAAGCGGAAATACGAATTACAAGGTTGACACGGTTTTTTTTTCCAATCGCTTGAAAATCTTTTTTACTTTTTAGGCACTGATGAGGAATGGACTACACAAAGAATTATGCTGTTCATCTTGTAAGTCTCGGAAGTTAATGAAAGAGCTCCGTGAGTTTAGTACCAACTACAAGCATGAACGAACCTAAATACACGATGGAACATCTGCAAGTCATGGAAGTACTTTAAGATCTTAGCTTCGAGGCAACAGGACCTCTGTGATATGTGTTTAACGAAATCCTATTTGTACGTGTAAATACATATATATATATATATATGTATATCTATTCAATGTTGTAATGCTTCGCTATCAGTTCAGTGTGGCACAGTGGTCACAAGTGACTCCACCCCTTCGTGGCTAGCAAATTGGCACCTGACTTATCTGAGAGAAAACACTCCATGTAGTCAGGAAAATTATTGCATGAACTGCAAGTGCATTCTGTCATCTGTATGATATTTAGTGAAAAGATGTGCACAGTCGCAATTGGGAGGGACATCATGGTGAGACCAAAGGTACACCAACAGCTATTGCTAATGGTGGTAGAAACGTAACGGGAAAGAGAGAAGAGGATGACTAAAATTTCATTGAGCAGAAAGATCATAGGTAATGCTGCAGAATTGGAGTGCGATCCAGATAGTTCACAAAATGAAGGGACCTCAGCCAAATTCTGATTCACCGTTAATCCGATGGTACTCCTGCATGCATTTATGTCGCGTAGGAGGGACTATACTCTCCAAAATTGTAGTGAGGATCTCTACAGATGGTCGAGAAATCACATAGACTGTATGTCTGTCTCATTTTTCATAATCTCTAGATGATTCTGTGAACGATAGGGCTAAGCGAACACCCTGTGCTAGGTGCCCGAACACTTATTTAGGAGTGGGCTGCGCGTGTTAACACCGTCACAAAAAAAAACAGTTCAAGAAGGAAATGTGTTGCAGCCATAGGAATATACATGCTTGAATCGAGCACTCGCACCAACTTTGTTACTTCATGATTTCCTTTACAATAATCTTTAACAGTTCAGATAAAATAAGAATGGACGCATGATGCAATTGTTAACTTCTGATAATTCAATTTGCAAGTTAAAACACACTGGTGCCAATCGATAACAGCATTCAAATCTTGTTAAATGCAACGATGTCGACTGACTGGACCTGAAATATTCTTCTAGAACAACCTCGACTAATAGTTGAATATTCAAGCGCTTACATGGCTTTCAAATTCCCCTGTGATTTTTTCCACAAGGTCATCCACCGAAACTTTATCATCTTCGATCACGGAGATGATTTGCAGTTTTTTAATGCCTGAAACTTTCGAAGAATATTAAGTGCCTTGGACGTGACAGCATAATTCACCATATCCGACGGGGATAAATTTCGATCCTCCCCAAACAAGTCCATCCATCTCAATTCCACGAACGAGACTTTCCATTTCTTCGAGGTTTGTCTCATCATCCCAAGGTTTCACATCCAAAATAACGGACGACTTTGCAATTGGTCCAGACTTAAAGTCGTGACAGTAGTTGGAAACATTTTTGATTTGAAGAGATAATACAATAAAGCACGTTATAAAACAAAAGTAACTAATAATCACAACATAAACTTGAGTTGTCCACTGGGTTTAAGTACTACCTTTTTCGACTTCTTCTCATGGTAGGCCTTCAGTCTTTCGTCAACAATCTTCGCCTTCTCGGGATTCTCATCATCTGAGCCAAAAAGATCAAAATCTTCATCGCCAGAATTTTCTTTCACAGCAGAGTCATCAATGTGTCCTTCCTAAAACACTACTGCTCACAAGACAAGACAAAACAGATTTCCTCCCAGAACCAAAATATTTGCCATATTTCAACTAATTTATGTTAAAAACTTAGCAAGCTGTATGCAAACAAAGCATCACCTTCGCAGGGATCACCTGCTTTCGGGCAAATTTTTCGATAGCGTCACGAAGCTCCGCCAACTCTTTCCTAATTTCCTCATTTTCTTTCCTTAGCGCTTTTATCTCTTGATGTAGGCTATCTAAAGGTACAACCTTTCACTTTACATATGTGTATTCGCACCGAATGTATTTTTATTTCCGAAGGGTAGGGTCAATGAGTACAAGTGAAACAAAACGAAAACAAGAAAATCCCATCCATACTAAAAGCAAACCCATTAACTATAAAAAATTATCCCGTTTACAGGGTCAAACAAAACTTCAAAATTGTGACGCCTAATGAGGGTCACTTCTTAAAATTTCGTCTTCGTTCTGTACAAGTTTCGACACTACTTTATTCATTCTACGCTTAATTTAGAGATTTGAAAAAAAAAGAATGGGATCCATGACAAATTTCTTAGTGCAAAGGTAGCTGCGAAACAATAAGCTTGCTACAATTACCATCAAATACAATTGCATGAGACGGGCTTGCTTCTGTTAACACCTTCATCACTATGTCCTTAGCGTATTGAATCGCGACTGACAAGTCACCTTTGGGCATTACGCGCATGTCGCCTTTAGGAATGAGTTCCTTTCCTGAAAACTGATCCGTAGAAATTGATCATACACACTTAAGTTCGTTAATTTGTGGTATTTTATATTACGTATATGCATATATACGTACTATGCAGTACTCACCACGTGCATGTTTGTGACCATGTTCACGACAGCCACCCTTTCCACCTTCGGAACCGTGCTTTCGGGGATGGCCTCTTGACGTACAAGGCGAGACGTTGGTGTACACTTGCCGTCCACCGAAATACACTTCGTCAGCGGCACGCACAGCGAGGTTTGAATCCAGAAATGTGCATTTCTCCGAAAGAAGACAGTCAACACCTGCCATTTAGAGGTACTATACCCGAGCTGGGAATTTGACAACCTAAAAGTTTAACCAAAGTGAACGTAAAAGAAATGTTTGCGCCATACAGGTACTCCCTGCAAAAGGAAGCACAGTTCCAGAAAGAAAAACTGATTGTCACAGAAATCAGCTGCCATTGATACGAATGATAAAAAAAAATAAAGCTCTCGGTGTTGATCAATCCCTGAGGGATGCGCCATGCATTCGACTTCACTAAGCATCGTTTAGACGTGGTTGAATGCATGACTGGTCTTTACAATGACTCGCAGTGGACTACCGATGTATCGAGCCAGTGCTGCTACCCTCCCAGACAGGTCTGGTACCAGTTCGCGGACCCCGGAGGGATGGAAGGCTTGGTGAGCCCAGGCGCGGGGATCGGTCCCATGTGTATCGCTGGGCGCCTCCGACCACTGCGCCACACGCGTCCTTCCACCATAAATATGAATGAATGCATATTCCAAATGAGTGATAAAGGGATGAATATTATCCATAGATAGTAAGCAAACTTAAAAAAAAACTTGGACATGACATAGCTTAACTGATTGAAACGTGTGGCAAAGACTAAGTACCCCAGTGGAAGGTACGTAAAAAAAAACGGCTCTGAAGGCCTTACTGTCGAGACGTCAGCTTTTAGCAGAATAAAGAATAAAATGACACTTCGTGTTTGCTCAACAAGAATATCGAGAACTGTTTGATCAATGCCGAGGTTAATAGAAAGTTGGTCGTGGGAATTAGTAAACAGTACGGAGACCACAAACTCTAGGCCATATCTGGGAAGAAATGCAGTGTGGTTTTTATGTCATTGCATACTGTGGTTACGAAATTTCCAATGTTTTGTTCGAAATTGCGTACTGCACAGAATACCGTGTGGAAAAGAAAATTGAATCATGAAATCTTTATGATTTGCTAGTGAGGGTAATGACGAATATTTAGGGAAGATGTAATATACTTTGTTCACAGGAACACGAATTTTAAGGAATTATGCCAGAGAAATATTCCTACTCGTTTACAGTAACACACACATACTCATACAGGCACGTGTACAAGCGTGCTAGTGAGATTTGGGGAATGAAAGTTAAACTAGCATAGTTTGGCGTTGATGGTCCCATTTTTCTAGAAGAAAGGTCGCTAGAGATTATAAACGGTAAAAATGCATAGCGTTCTGCGTTGATTAGTCCTTGAAGGTCTTCTTTTTCTGGAAGAACGAAGTTCGTAAGAGATCACTTAGATACTTGGATATTTGAGTGGCCCGTCTACACTTGTTGTGCAGCCCCAGCATAATTTCCTTTGTTTCAGAGTTTTGCTGGTCTAGCCACTGTGGTTCCCTGGAATCCCGAGGGAGCCCAGCCAAAGCCTTCCTCAGGTCGTCACCACCACAGGCAGTAGCCGAACTTGTGGATCAGAGGGAGGTTTGCCACTATGCGACCAGTATGATACCACGATGGCGGTAGATCTTGGTATGGCTCTTAGCTGGGCTTCCTGATGGAAACGTCGGACTTCTTCTCAGCTTGCGAGACCAAACTAGGGGACGAATCCCCACTGTACATCGCACCCGGACACCCAGGAATACCTCTGAGTAGGAAGACCGAGCGAAGGATTCGTTGTCGAAAAGACAGTTCTTTTGGATCCACATTGTGGTGAAAACATGGATACGCCCTTGCAAGGCTAAGTCAGGACAATAGGGAGGATCAAACAGCACAAACAACAATAGCCCAGCCTCAGTGTCCCGCACACTGGGTGCTCCCGTCTATGACGTCAGGCGGTGAGACGATCGGTGAGAGGCCAGAAAATCTCGGGTTACGCAGCACGTCACTGGAACCGGATTTGACAGAACACACGAACGACGCGCCATGTAGATTGTTTCTTACACTGCACGTATAATGCCAGAACACTCTCCACAGACGCCGATCTTCATGCCCTTCTTGTAGCAGCAGATCGCATTAATTTTTATGTGGTCGTACTACGAGAAACAAAAATCAAGAAGACCGACATAGGTCAACTAAACAAATTCTTGTCATCCACTGAGAAAAAGTCCCGCCACGAAATGTCGGCGTTGGCTTTGTCGTGTGCGCGTCCATTTTTCGTCTCGTGGACTCGTATGAGATCCTTTCCCCTCGCTTGGCCGTCTTCCGTCTTCAACTGACGCATCATAAGAGGATCATAATCATCAATTGCTACTCACCGAACGATGCTGACGAGTACGAATTCGATGCGTTCTACTACTGGTTAGAGGAAGTTATCTGCAATGATAAAGCGTGTCATAAATTTGTTGTTGGAGACTTCAACGCCAGAATAGGTCAGGGCAGCGAGAGCGAATACAGGATCGGAAATTTGGAATCAGGTGAAAGAAACGAGAATGGAAAGCGTCTCGCAGGACTCCTGTCTGCAGCACGTCTATTCCACATGGAAACTCCTTTTTCCAGAAGAAGGAAAGCCGCCGCTGGACATGGGAGTCCCCTAACTGCACGACTTATGCGGAGATAGACTATATTCTAAAAAACAGAAGATGGTATCTACTTGATACATTGATAGTCCCGTCATTTTGTACTTGTTCCGATTACCGCCTTCTTCGCGCGAAGATTCGATTCAGTCGCAAGTCGGAAAAGAATTCATGTCATCGACCACAAGGAAAAAGTAAAGACTACGAGTTGCTTGTCGAAGGACTGAAAGGGTGTACCGAATTTGCCTCAGATCCACAAGCAAGAAGATCGGATGGTATTTTCATTACCATTAATGAGTTGCTCGAAAAGAGAAGGAAACTGAAGCTTGATCCAACTACAGCGCGTTTAACAAGGCTAGTAATAAATGCCACCTGCAGAAGAGCTTTACAGCAAGAACTACATCGGTACAGGCAGGAGAAAATACTGGTAGCAGCGGAGAAAAAAGTATTTTGAAAAAATGTCGCTGGGACTTGTATGATTATAATGTTTCGTTGCCAGCCCTGATGAACGAAGATGGTATTGTCAAAACTCCCCACCATGATATGGAATTAATAACGGGAACGTTCCAAGTCAACATTTTCTGTTCCACGATCACCGTCGCGGACCATAATATTCCTGCTGGTGAAAAACCACCTGGAATTCTTCTGTCGGAGGTTTGAGTTGCGATAGCAAGCATGAAAAGAGGCAGAGCTCAAGGCCCAATGATGTCACTGCCGGCTTCCTTAGAGCTGGAAGCCAAAATTTACATGTACTTCTCGTAAACCATATGAGAGCCTAACTTCAACAGGAAAAAAGCTGAGACCAGTGGAGGACGGTCATCCTGCCTAAGAAAGGTGAGCGAAGGTATCTTTGTAACTAACGTGCGATATGCTTGTTGGATGTACTCTACAAGCTCTCCACGAAGATTGCCCTCTCGCTCATATGAAAGACTTTGGATGAGGCGCAACCAGTGGAGTAAGCAGAATTTCGACAAAGATTTCGCTGTATGAACCACATCCAAATTGTGTCAAGGCTCATTAAAGTTTGTCGGAAATACCACCTGCCCCTAATCCTAACCTTTATTATGGGGAAGCGGGAAGTATTATCAGACTACCCATAAACTGGAAGAATACTCAGTTCATGAAAAACCCATGGTGCGAAGCCGAACAAACTATGAAAAAGCGTTTGACAGAGTCGGAACGAATGTGACCCCATCACCGCTCGTTTGCCAAGGAGTGGACCCCGCCTACATAAGAACTCTGTCTGACTGTTCTCGGAACTGTACTACGAAAATACAGCTTTTCCATGGACCTCCTATACCCATAGGAAAAGGGCTTGACAATGCGACACAATATCGCCAAAGCGATTTAGTGTCACATTGCAGTACATAATGAAGTCATTCGATTGGAATGAGAAAGCTACACGTATTGGTGGAAAATCCCTATAAAACCTACGTTTCGTCGACGACATCGCCATCTTCTCAAGGAGCACCAGCGAAGCAGAGACGATGATCAATGAGTTCAACGAAGTATTATCAGATAAATCTTCGGATTTTTGCTGAGCAAAAAAAAAATTATTCTTTATTCACGAATAAGCTGACGTTTCGGCGGATTTCGTCTTCCTCAGAGCCTGGAAAGGTCAAGTTGATAGCAATTTATTCGGCCAGACACCTCCATAACCAAACAAAGAAACCCTAAACCAAGATTTCAATCACACTGAACATAGCTTTGCACACTCACTGCTTTCTATTCCACTAAGTATATCGCGTGAAGACCAACCGCACAGAAATCACATGGAAGTATAATGTGCTCCTCCCATCAGAATAACAGTCTTATATACTGCCCTATATCACGCGTGATAATGAGGCATTCTTCCCTGCGGTTCATTTTCGGATTTCTGGAATTAATCCAGAACGCCTCGAGAGTTTTTCGCGCCTGTGTTCTTGATTCGTGTGCGAGGATCGTGACACATACTTCAAAGTCCTCTCCGCTATGTCTCTGGGTCTTGTACGTGCCTAGCGGGGTATTTGGTCTTTGTTTGCCGGCTAGGTGTTCTTTTATGCGGACACAGAGGGGTCTACCCGTTTCTCCAATGTATTCGTCTCCGCACGTCTTACAGGAGATCAGATAAACTCCAACCGAGCTCATGCAATCACCGTCTCTACCACTGGGGCAAATTATGCAATTTTGAGTTGCACGTAGACGGTCATATAGGCGGTTACGAAATAGCTGGCGCTTAAGATTACTCGGTGGAATTTCAACTACGCTTACCGAATTCTTTAAGCCCTCCCTTCTTAAGCAGCGTTTTATAGCTGTACTTGCATCATTTGAGCTGAAGGGTAGGATAAACGGGACCCTTCTATCGCTAGAGTTGTCGTTTGGAGGCCTACGATTTCCTCTACACCTATCCTGTGCTACAGTTTCGTAGCCATTAGAAATGGCTATTTGCCGTGCCAAGTCCGGGACTCCTCTCTCTGCTCTCTTCCCGTGCATACGTTGGTTGCTGTTCGAAACATGTTTCTTATAAGCGACCTCTTTGTGTGAGAGGGGTGAGAGGAGAGGTAAT